AGATTCTGGATCATTAGAAATTATCTCCCTTTAATTTTCTAACGTGATTTTTTTTTTTTTTGTGAAATGAACTATTCAAATGATATTCGCTGTTGATTGCTTCCCTATAAAGTAGGTAACTCCACTAATTCATTGAAAAAAAATGTATACCATGATGAAAAAAATGTCCCAAACTGGAGAAAAACAAAATTTTAGTGTCAAAATCTTTATTGTTATTAAGAGGTATTGTATTCATTATTTAATAATTTTTTTTTAATCCATTCTAACATGTCTGAAATTTTGGTTAAAAATCTCGTTTTTCTTGCGTCAGCAAGGGGAGGTGACTAAAGTATAAGAAATTTTAGCATCTTTTTTTTTTGCAGCAAAGGACATTCTTTTGGAAATTCTGGCAAAAATTGTCAGATTTTAATTTTCAGAACTTATTTCACAAATAAATTAGATTACTTTGGATTTTTTTATATGAAATTTTGAGAAATTAAACTTTCACCCACTTAGTCTAATTAAAAGCAGAAGTCCTAGAATTTAAATAAAGTTTTTTTCTTGTAAAACAGAAACCTCCTTTACCAAAGGTCTGCTCTGAATCTTTAAAATAAAAAATGCAATAAAACTAAGGTATTATTTAATTAGAAAAGATTTTTAATTGCTTTTATAAATAAGATATAAGGACACTATTGTGTTAAGAAAAAAACTTTTCAATAAATGATTTTTTTTTTTTTTTTTGCAAGAATTGTTTTCTTGTTATTTAAATTTTAATTAGCATAATTTATTAAGTTTTAAAATTCTGTATTAATTTTGTTCTTTTAGATATTGAATAAAAACTATATTTACTAATCAGAAATTGAAAAGCTTAGTACAAGTCATCAAAAGCCAATATTTTTTTTTTAAATTTCTGAATTTTTTTGTACACATATAAATGTGCTGAATTTTGGAGATACAGTTGGTCATACACAACATTATCAGAAAATAAGAGCAATAACTATAGTAAATTTAAAGCGAAAGTATCTAAAAAAAAAAAAAAAAAAAAAAAAATCAATAAATCATTAGATTATGGAGGCTATTTTACTAAATTTTTAGGATTACTGAGAACTTAAAATTATATATATATATATATATATATATATATATATATATATATATATATATATATATATCTCTATCACTCACAAAATATTCAATTTTTTTTTTTTTTTTTTTTTTGACAGATAAAAGCCCCTATAGAAAAACATTAGATAAAGATTCATCAGTCAACATCTTAACAGCTACCACCATGTTAAAAAAATGCATTTCTGTGATATTTTAGTTTGTTTCAAATCAGATTAATTATACTTTAAATCAGCTAATATTCTTCAAATAAAGTTTCAGAAAAGTATATTTTATTAAAAAAAATCTTCCAAAAATAAAGAGAATTACATTGTGATAAATGAGGGGGGGGGGAAACTGGTGGTGAAATCAGATTCTTTAGCAAAAAATCTTTCCAGTGTAAATTAGTTTTAAAATAGACCAAAGTATTTTGCTTATTGGAAATATTAAATTTAATCTATTAACTTCAAATTAAAATGAAAATAAAAACTTGGATTTTTCATTTTAAACTTTAGATATCACAAATTTTATATTTTATAGATATTATGAAAAAAAAAAAAAAAAAAAAGTAAAAGGAAAGTGACTTGTCAAAATCATATTTCTTACTGTACATAATCAATCTGTATATGAAAATAACAAAAATAAATTTTTAAAAAAATCCAAAACAGAAAAAGCTTGGCAAACACGGATAAAAGTGCTTACAATAAGATGTAGTGTCAAAAAGAGTTTTTTGTTTGTTTTTTTTTGTTTTTTTTTTAACTACCTTCACTCTTCAGCAATGTTTGAAATTTTAAAAAGCGATGGTTAGAATCTTAATAAAACCACTCTTTATGGTGAATATTGAAATCGCCACAAAAATTAATGCTATTAGTTATTTTGTCCATCATCCTGTGGACAATAGTAAAAAAAGGAAGATGCATTATTGGAGACCCACACAAAAAGCACATGAATAGAAAATTATATTCATCAATTTTGGGACTTCACATAGGTGTTGAATCCATGTCAATTTTGGAGGTCAGGTTTCACTATTAGGGCCGAGTAGCTCGGAATTGAGAGCTTCTGCACTGGGATAAATAAACCAACACCAGTTTTCACCTTATGAAGTTGGAGTTTCATCTCTGGAAATTTGGATTATAGACTCCTCACATTGATGTAGGCTTTGTGTTGCCTGAATAATAAATATTTTAACTCCTGCACGATATTTTTTTTCTCCAGTCACAATTTTGGCAATGGCATCTCAGATTGCTTGGCCACAATTAGAACAGAATATGCATAAGACATTATTTTTTAATATACAAAAAAAAAAAGTGAACTTCTGGAGAAATTTGGTACAATAATATGTGTAAATGCTGGTTGTGTTGAAAAGATTAATGTGGCTGCATGTTGAAGAGCATTTAACATTTACACATTTTTTAATCAAGCAAAAACAATGGAAAACCGATTTGTTTCAACGATAAAATATATATTAAAATCAACAAATACAAAACAATTTTTGTAATGTGTGAATATTAAGGAGAAAAAAGTAGTTTCCCTTTATCTGCTAGCTTGAGTAAGATAAAATGTAATTAAGGAAGTTTCCTGAATAGAATGTTCAAAGTTCTATATTGAAATAGAATGTTGTATTCAGAACATAATTCAGTTGTGTTATTTGTATAACTAACAGCGTTGTGTGTAGCTTGGCTTTTTCACAGAGAACTGATGGTGAATGTAATTCAAGTTGTGTGTGTGTGTGCGCAGAATAAATAGCCTGTGTAGACGCATGTGAGTTGCCAAGTTCTACTGTCTATTTTTGGAATGAAACCTACCTTTTATTACTACCGGTAGGCTCTGGGAACAAAGGCGGGAGAAATTTTGAAAGAACACAAAAAATATCTGATTGGATGAAAAATTAACCAATCGGTGATTTTATAACAAAAGCATGTTTGTGAATTAACGGTAGGAAAAATTCAGTGTGGTGACTGCAATCAGTAAATTGTCCTGTGATAATTAGTATTTATTATTTAACCAATCACAATTGAGAAAAATGTCGGCGTGGCAAACGTAGTAGTAGTCACTACATATGCATTTAGAACATTTTTAATTTTTTGCAGAATGCTGGGATTTGAGGATTCATTTCTTTTTTCTTCACCTTATCCATTTTTTGTACAAAAATCATGAAGTTACCTTTAATCTTTACTTGAGCAAGTTATTCAATGTCCTTCAGACTTGCTGCAGCATAAAGGATCTGTTATCTGTACCTTTTAGTAAACATTACATATCGACATCTGCTTGGCTGCACAAGGGGCTTCACTCCTGGTTTAAGGAGTTATCTTTCTTTTAAACTGATTGTACATCGCCGAGTGGTCACGTTTGCTTTCTGACCATGAGACCTCGAGAATTAAATTTTGCAAACGGAACCGTGTGATAACAGTTGATGTTTGTGTTAGCACAATGTCATTGTGACCAAGTTTGAGCTTGTCCTTTTCAAAAAATTGATCACACCAGACTATATACTCTCTCCCAGAAACTGTAACTAAGGTCCTCCCAGCAGAGCTGCAGTATAAACCACAGACATACTCTGTGGATTGAGCAGGCCCCTGTAATAGAATTTGGTTAGCCACCCTGACAGCCGGCTGTGCTTGAAAACTCCTAGTAGTCATCCATTTCAGACTGATTGACAATAATTGGTAAAGAACACAATCTGCCCTCTTATTTTCCCCAGTGCTAGGGAGAGAGGAAATAAATTCATGCTTTTTCAAGGGTGCAAATTGAAAAGTTTCAGATGGATAATTCTTACCAATTCTATTTTTCATGCTGCTGTCAGGCCAGCCTACACCACTTTGATGATTGCAGTTAAAAAGCCTTTCATTTCAATTGCTTGATTGAAAAATCACTGCATTATATTTCAAATGAATCATGCACCATTCAAATAAACTACTAAAGAAAATTCACGATATGTTCTTATTGGCATACTTAAATATAAAGCTTTAAAATTAAAAATATAAAAAAGATATAAACCAATATTTTCTAGTTTAGGACAGAAAAATATCAAATTGTAAACAATTCATATGTATGAAAATATTAAATCCATCCCAGCAAGTTGTTGCTATAACACATTAACATTATGATTTCCTTTTGTAAATCTGTTACCTCTTTATTTTGTTTTTAAAAGACAATGCCTTTAAAATGAAATAAAATTCCGATTTTACTTTTACAGTGTAAAGAAGCTATATATTGTTGATTTCTTTATGGAATATAGAGGAAAACAAATTATATTAGAATAAAAATTTAGAAAAATTAAAATGAGGTTTTAACACAAATATTTACTTATGCAAAAAGACAATTATACTGGATTTTTAAAGTAGTTTATTTATTTTTCAACCCTTTCAAATAAGAACAAAAATTTCATATTCAATTATCAATATAAAAGATTTTTAGTTTCTTATCAAGTTTTCTTTTTGTTCTGTTTATTTTAATTTTGATCATATTTAAAAACTTTTTCTAATTTATTTTTCAGGAAGTTATAAGATATAAAAATATATACAAATGAAATTTTAAGAAAAGCAAAAAACCCAAATTCCAACTTGTTTAAAAGAGTCCATATAAAATTCAATCCTCATATCACTTACAATATCTGTATTTGAGAATCTTACAAATGGCTATCTAATTTTTCTATATTCAAGTTGCCATTAAGGACATTTATTAATAAAAAAAGATACTGGTAAAATTTTTTAAACCTTTTTTTTTTTTGACACTATTGAAATACAATTTTTATTTAAGTTTTATGCAAACAGACAAAAAGCAAGAAAATCTTTCAGAAATCTTTATTTTACACGTTACATGTTTTATTGTGCTTGCCTTTTTTTCTGTCATGATTTCTATGGAATATAATAAAAAGTGGGAATGTACAAAATGAAGCACCAAGAGTAGGTGTTGACTAATTATGTTTGTCTTCGTAAACTTCCACGGCTCCGGCCAGCAGGACCCCTTACCCCAGGGTTACGCCCCCGACCAACATGACCTCTGACCATTTGTCCCCTGGCCATATGACCTCGCATTACAGCCCCTCTGCCTCTTGCATTTGCTCCACCACGCATATTACGAACATTGGCAGCAGCAGGTCCACCACGAGGTTGGGTGTTTGCCACATTGGCTCCACCACGGCCTTTAGTAGGTGGTGCAGTGACATTGCTGCTTGTGCCAGGTGCTGACCCTGATGATGAATAAGGCTGGGTCTGTATGGCTGATGAGGGACTGGGAGTTGTTGCTGTACTAGCTGCTTGTTGCTGTTGTTGTTGCTGCTGCTGTTGTTGCCCAGAAGTCTGATCCCAAACAATTGGCTGGATTCGAGTTTTGCGTAAACCTAATCAAAAAGAAAGTAATAAAGACCAATCTGTTATCAAGCAAAATTTCTTTTTTTGTCACTCTGAAATGAGATTAATTTATGGTCAACACTTTTTTTTATGTATATTAAAAAAAAAATGAACAAGGTATTACACATAGTAATGAAATTACAAACTAAATGACAAGAGATGCTCAGTTTGGATAATTATTTAAAAAAAGCCTGCATTAATCACCAATTCCATTTCTTTAAATAAAGAAAGAAAGAAAACACACTAGATGCTTTGGTTGAAAATTTATTTTATGGATAACGGGCCCACATCTTTTAATCAACTTGTTTCCCAAACCATGTCTGTTTCAACATGTTTAAAAATTTAATTTAATCAACATGTTTCAAAAACCATGTCTGTTCAATAAAATGTGCCTAGATACATCAATGAATTAGAAGAGGATACTGTTAGTCTTTCTGAAGGTTGATGGCTGAGGATTTTCTAAAGTAGAATGAGATTTATTTATTGTGAATTCTTAATTTAAAAAAAAAAAAAAAAAAAAACTGTTACAGGAAGCTGTACTTTCTTTTGATCAAACAACTTTTGCAGTGACTCTAGGTTAATTATGATCACACAAATGATACTGATTTAGGCTGTACTTCTTGATTATCTTCAAAAGTTGGGCCTATTATTCTAATTCCACATGCCATGTCTTTTTTTTTTGAGGAGTAGGATAACTTGGTTTCAGTTAATTTCCTTTAGTAACTCATCTCTCCAAGTTTTTGTTCCCTCTACTGTGGCCAGGTATTCAACCAACAACTTTTTGGGTTGAAATCACTTTGGATAATTGACTGGCCACAGCAGAAGGAACAAAAACTTGGAGAATTGAGTTACTAAAGGGAATTAACTGAAATTGAGATATTTAAAAAAAAGTGGGGGCATGGCATGTGGAATTAGAATAATCTAGCCCCCTGTTCTAAATAAAGGGTTCAGTTCAGTTCAAAATTCCAACATGAAGAAGGCCAGATCAAACAACAGTCGAAACATTGTGAAAATAGCAATAAAGATGAAGACAACAGGCTGAATGACATAAATAGCGTAAATAGTTACAATTCCTCGTCTTAGAAATATACAGATGCTTTGTTTAAATAGACATATTCATCAATGATCTCATAGAAAAAATAATTTTTGCAAAGTTACCAGAATTCAGTCAAGTCTTCCCATGCATTTTGCAGAACAAAGAATGCAAATAGTCAAATCATACCAATACATCAATAGAGACAAGGCAGCAAGAGGGTTTCCATAAATACGAGTGTGTAAGAAAGTCAACTAAGGCTACCAGAGAGAAGAGATAGGAGAGTTTGCTAAATCTGTCAGACCTCAATACTTATTCACAAACTTGAGACACTATTTTCTCTGTTACAGGCAAAAGAAACAACACTTTTGCAAATTTGTGCAGTGCATGTGTGTATTGCTTGGATAAATGACTAACCTCCACCCAACTTTAAACTATTGTAAGTTTACTACTGATCCAACACTTGCAATTTTTGATGAAGACTACATTCTTAGCTATATCATCACCACCCTAAGCTCTTTTACCAATGAGTTATTTTTGGAGACTTTTCTCACACAAAAGTGTAATACCAAAAAATCGCTACAAGCATAAGTAGCAAGGACATTTAAGGGAGAAAGTGGAAGAAATTTTCTCCCTTATATTAAAATAGCTTCACGTGGATAGCATGCTCAGAATTTAAAACATTTTTTTAAAATGTTTACTGATCACTTTTAAAACCACATAAAATGAAGATTATTGTATATGCAAAAAACATAAACAAAGATAAAAACTCAAAAACATAAACATTAAAAAAACAATTTTTTTTGTTTTAAGTTTTTTCTTTACATTGGTGAATGTAGTATATAACATGATTTAAGTGTGTTAGGTTTTAGATTTTAAAGAGCTAATCAAACTGCCACATCAAATTACCTTGTGGATCTAATGCTGATCGGTCTCCATCATCTTCAGATGTCTGTTCCAAACTTTGCTCTCCTGACACTGATGGGTTACCATCATCAGTTGCTGATTTTTCTGCTGTTGCTTAAAATAATAAATAAAATAAAAAGATTACAACTGTGATTTTATTTTAAAATATGATGTTGGTAATGAAAATATGACATCAAAGTCTAAGTTGATCCAACAAGGCTATCAATTCATTTATTCAATTATGTGACTAGAGTTGATTAAATATCAATACGTATTCAAGTCATAGCTTAGCTGAGTGCCATACTGGATAAAAAGTACAATTTCAAGATTTCTAATACATTGAAAGGAATTTGCTGGTTACAATACATATTACTGCATGGTTAATAGCAGATTACTGAGTGGGTCAGATTTTGAAAAACATTTATCTCAGGTTCAAAATTTATTTGTATTAAAAAGAAAATAATGTTTTCACTAAAAATAAACTGTGCTTAACTCTACAATTTCATTAAATCAATGAATCTAATTTAAACAATATTGAAATTCAATGTTTTGATGCTATCAAATAGAAAAAAAGAAAAAAATCACATGAGGCTTTGATCTATAGACTTCATGGTATATGAAATACAGTTTAAAAGAAACATTCCAATATTTTTTAAAATTCTTAAAAATGCTTCTGTATCAATTAAGGTTGTCATTTAGATTTATAATTGATTTTTGACTTATCTTCAAATAAAGAAAACCATGAAAGCCAAAAAAGGAAGAAAATCAACTTACAAGTTTCCTCTTCACCTCCTTCAGCAACAGTATCAGATCCAGGCATTTCTGAAGGCACTGAAGCACTGAAAAATAAATTTTACAAAATAGGAGGAAAAAAAAAATTAAATCAGATATTTGTGATTAAAGAAATTCAAAAAATGAATGCACTTAAAAATGTTATAATCTAGAGATTGTCTAAATCAAAATGAAGGAAAAAAAGAAGTGTCATCAAACTGAGTGCATGTACAAGGAAAAATTTTCAAATACATCCTAATGCTATTTAAACTAGAATTTCTTTAATGCTCCAAAAAGATAATTGTTCACCTGGCACTTTCTTGGCTGCTCCCTTCTTTGCTTGCTTCAGAATCTCCTTGAAGGATTTGTTGAGGAGGCGCACTTGTAACTTGGAAACTTCCAAAAACACCACTGGCCGAACCACCTAAAAAAGACAATAGAAATTCTTAAATATCTGATCAGTACGGATCTTCACTCTTAATTCCCATTTAAAATTCTGGTTCACTAAACAAAAACTGCAAGCAATTAGGTTTTCTCTTAGAGATCATCTCTGCATACATCAGCCTGCCCTGCTTTCTCCCTCTCACATATTTCCTATCGCTCAAAAATTACCAAACTGATTGAATTCAGCTTTGGGGATTCATGGACCATTGATTGAGAACCTCTTCCTAAGAGAAGTCTGCAAAACACATGGTTGAGAACCTGTACTTCAGGCTCATTACACCTTTCCCTCAGCATTGCCCTTGTGTGACCTTAAGTTTGAGAGCCCTGATTTATGCTTTTAGCTAAAGTGTATTAAATCCTTCAAGCAAATCGTGTACATCTTTCTTATAGCTCATTCTTCATTTCCATTAACTTCAGTAACCACATAGTACTTACCAAGTGGTGTTATTTGATGTGGAGTGGTCGGTACATTACGGGTCTGACCATCATCAAACTGTGAAAGATCCATTCGAGTGTCATCCATCCCCAATGCTGTCATGTGGAAACAGAACAAATATAAAAGTTCTTTATAACAAGATCATTTTTTTTAAAGAAGCAATAATTGAAAAACACTTTTTAGCAATTTTTTTTAAAAAGAAAGGTTTTAAAAAAAAAAAAAAAAAAAGATTATTTTGTAATCATTTCTTTTTTTTAATGATGTAATTAAGGTGACCTTTCATGTAATCCCAATCTGTCACTGACAGAAAAGTACTTTAAGTTTCTATGTGTGCGAAGAATTTGGATTTCTAATAGTTCTTAGAGAACAACAAACAATACACATAAATACCGACAAGCCAGAAATATTAAAACCAAAGTGGAAGCTGCACTGGCCAAATTGAACAGAAACAAAGCAGCAGAGCCAGACGGAATTGTAACAGAGATGCTGACAGCCTTAGACAAAATTACAGAAATAATAAATGAAATCTACAACAATGGTGATATACCGGAAGACTTAAACAGATCCATTTTCATAGCACTGCCAAAGAAACCAAGTGCAAACAATTGTGAATTCCACCGAACAATCAGCCTAATGAGCCTCATAACAAAACTAATCATCTGAATTCTGATGAATAGAGTGCACAGCAGAATCAAGCCAGAGATGGGACAAGAACCAAGCGGTTCATCAAAGACACCAGAATAAGAAACAGGATATTTATGCTCAGAATGTTATCAAAAAGAGCAATACAAATGCAGAAGGATTGTACCTGTGTTTTATAAACTATGCAAAGGTGTCTGACAATATGCCAGAAAGATCTGTTAGAGCTGCTCAGCAACCCTGATATATTCAGGAAAGACAGAATAATCAAAAATCTATACTGGCAGCAAACCGCCTGCATACAGATAAAAAAATGTGTTCACCAGATATAAAATAATTGCAAGGGGTGTAAGACAAGGATGTGTATTCTCACCAGACTTCAATCTATATATACAGTGAGGCAATTCTGAGAGAACTAGAAATCTTACCAGGATTCATCATTGGCAGCCACAATCTTAATAATACAAGATATGCAGATGACACATTGCTGATAGCAGACATGGGAAGGAAATTACAAAACCTCCTACAGAAGGTAATGAAGGAGAGCAAGAAGGAACTAAGCAGAAACTACAAGAACACAGAATGCATGGTCATCAGGAAAAAAGATGAGCCCAAAATGCAAATTACAGGTCAGGGATACTAAAATCAAGCAGGTACAGAAATTTAAATATCTGGGAAGTGTTCTAACAGAGGACAGGAAGTGCAACACTGAAACATATTGAGACAGCCAAAGATGCATTCCAAAAGCTAAGCAGAATATTAAGAGACAGGAAAATTTTGTTGGAAACAAAGAGAAGAGTATTGAACTGATATCTGAAGTAGCAAATGCTGGATAATATCCTCAAAGATGAAGAAGAGACTCGAAGCAACAGAAATGCAGTTCTACAGAAGAATGCTAAGAATATCATAGGCCAAACATGTGAGCAACAAGGTTTTGGAGAGAATTGAAACAAAGAGGAAACTTATACTTAACACCAGGAAGAGGCAGGGGAAATTTCTGGGACATGTAATGAGGAAGGAGTGCTTGGAAAATCTAATACTCACAGGATGGTAGAGGGAAAGGGGAAAGCAATATGTGACAAATGGATGGCAGAACAGGGTCTGGGAGAAATAAAGACAAAACTTTTTAAGAGCTACAAGGAACAGAAGGATGTGGAGGGCCATGATCACCTATGTCCTGAAAGGATACAGCACATAAAAAGAATAGTTACATTTCCTAGAGAAAACCGAAGCAGAAGTTACTCAAATCACAAATGTTCAATACTCCCAATTCAAATTTGCTATTAAGCTACTTCAGTATACTAAAGAATTTTTATAAGATAAAAGCTATTTTTGCAGTGACATCAAAATTAATATGCAGAAATAAATTTGTAGTGTTCAGATTTTATGTACAATGTAGAATATGAATAAACAAGTTTAATAAAAACATCTGTTCATCTCTAAATCCTTTTAACTTCTCCAACATTGTTTGAAAAAAAAAAAAAATATTCAGTTTAATTCATTATAAGATAAACTCTCAAATCAAATATATGGGCCTTAAATTTTTCAAAGCTAAAAATGAAAAATTAGCCATTTATAAAATTTCTTAATAAATCTATACAAAAATGGCATGTATATTTTAGTATGAGAGAAAATTTGAAATGATACAGATCATTATCCAGAATATTGACTATTTCAGAAGCAATTATTATTATTATAATAAAAACAAATAAATAAAAATTCCAATATTTAAAATAAAGATGCATTCATTCCCTAAAGTTTCTCACAAATTTTTACCTCCTTGTGATGCTAACTCTGAAGGGCCCACTCCATCTCCAGGTCCAAAAACAAATCTTTGAGGTACTTGTGGATAACTGAAAAGAAATAAGACAAGTATAAGCAAATAAATATATTCAGGACTAAAGAATAACTCAAAAGTTGTACAAAGCACAGGGCCACGGTTTTAAAAAAATATTGCCTGCTGATATAGATATCACCAGGTAATATTTTTTAAAACTGTAGCATGTCAAGATAAATGCCTGAAATTTTTGTCCTTAATTTTAGCATTACTATATTCCTACCATTTTAAGGAGTTATTTATAAAAGATTTGTTGTGCGTTTCTGTGTACAGAATTAATTTTTTTTCTTTACACTTTTAAACACTGCTTATCTATTTAAAAAAAAAAAAAAAAAAAAAAAAAAAAAAAAAAAAACAATAGAATATTTATAGACAAACTACACCTTGATTTTTAAAATCTACCAGAAACCAGTTTATCACTGGAATTCAATAAAATTTGTTATACAGTAGGATCCGAAATTAAGGACAACAAATAAAACTTTGATATCTCAAAAGATATAAACATAGACAAATAGCAGTTCAGCTGTGCTTTAAATCTGTAAGTTATTTGGAATAATAGAGAGGCACGATTCATTTTTACTCAAATATCAAGTGTCCAAAATTAAAGAATAAAACATTTTTAATAAAAAATAATTGAACAACAAAATGCAAAAAATCTTATCAATATTCACTGCTAAGACCCTTGTTTTGAAGCATATCAGCATCCACAGGATTTCACTAAATTTTGACATTCATCAACTCTAATTTTATCTCATTCTTCCTGTAAGTCTTCCATAAGTTTTCTATGGAAGTCATGTCAAGACTTTGAGCTGGCCAATCCATAACATTTATTCCTTGGTCATTCAGATAAGCAATAGCCAGCTATGCCTTATGGCAAGGAACATTACCCAGCATGAACACAGGATTTTCAAACCCTGAATTTTGTAATACTTGTACCACATGTTCTTCTAACAAATTCTTGTATATAACAGCATTAACTCTATTATGTAAGCGTACAAGAGGTGATATAACCAGACTTGAAAACATGCCGAAAACCATCATGCTGCCTCTGCCAGATTTGACTGTCTTCTTGATGCCCTTTGAACTCAACCTTTTGCCAATTTGTCTTTTTACATACTGTTTTCCATCAGAACCAAATACATTAAATTTACTTTCCTCAGTGAAAAATACACTGGACAACTAGTCTTCTGACCACAATATGTGCTTGTTTGCAAATTCCAGTCTTTCTACCTTGTTCTTTTTGCTTATGAGCAGCTTCTGTGGACACCTAGCATAAAGCACTATTTCTTGCAAGCGTCAAGACACATTCTCATGAAATGCCTGCTGCAGTTTAAAAAATGGTCCTTCAGTGCTAGGCATTGAATGATCCTGTCTTCTCTGGCCATTGTTTTCCTTGGTCTACCCACCTTGTTTGTTTGTTTGTTTGTTTTGTTCCTTAATTTTAAACACTTGGTATTTGAGTAAAGAATTAAATGAATCATAGCTCTCTGTATCATTCCAAATAATTTACATATTTAAAGCACAACTGAACTGCAATTTGTCAATATTTAGTGAAAAATTTAAGAAAAACTGAACTTACATTTTTTTGAGATATTGAAGTTTTAATTTATGTTCCTTAATTTTGGATGCTACTGTATTTATTACTTTATGAAAACAGAAGTTTCTAATTCTGTGAAATCAGTCAATTACACCCACTTTATTTGATTTCATGAAAATCAAATTATTATTTGGACACTGAAAATATTTACATTTATAATATAAAGTTTCCAGAATTAATTAATCAATTAAAAAAATAAAAATTAGAAACCTTAAACAGAAAAAAAATCTGCAATGAAACTGTGTTATGAATAATTTTAATTCTACACTTGAGTTATAAAAGAAAAATTTACTGAAAAAATATTTAAGATTTTCATTTATTTTATCATGTTTGCAATGTCTTAAATGTTGGAGAAGGTAATCAGTTGTCAATCATTAAAAGTTGATGTCTTATTCAAAACTTTGTAAATGCTTCCAATCACAAAGATTTTATCAGAATATTTCATGTGGAGAAAAAAAACAAAAAAAAATAAACCAAACAAAACAGGACTTAGTGGCTCAAAATGTTGATAGTTATAACATGAATATATATCGTCTTCAAGCTGAACTTGATATTATTAGAGTTAGCCAACAGTAAATATTATGGAAATGGTTTAGTCATCAATATCAAATGGAAGAATAACATCCATAGACTGAATATCAGTTTTACAGCTTAAGACAAATAAAAAGAAATATTAATGCATTCAGAATAAAAGTATAAATCTTAGAATAAACAGAAAATTAATATTAAGTAAAATCAAGCAAGAACAATATACATATTGAACAACATTAATAAAATAAATAAGATTCCATCATTGCCTGTAAAAACTTTAAAGAGCTTGGAAGTCCTGCAGCATTCATGAGTTGGCACAGGACACAGAGGTTTGTAGAGGACTTATGAAATATTTACATAGTTACTGAATTTGAGTTTTTTTTGTTTTTTTTTCACACTAATTTGTAGTATGTCTTCAAGTAAAAAAAAAAAAAATGATCATGTCTAAAATTATTAATTATTATGCCACATGGACTTTTCTGTAATATTAAATAGTAAGTGTTTATAAATGAAAAATATAAAATTTAATAAAATTCATCTTAAAAGAAAATGAATTTTTATTTTTTTCATTTGCATAATGATATTTTATAATCAGTGTGTATGGAAGGAACATTAGAAAACATTTTATTACTTTCTTTATTATGAGCTCCTGGTCATAGCTTGTACACAAAAAGAAAAAAAAAAGTTCCCTCCTTCCCAACCCAGACTTCAAACATATTTAAGTTATTGCAATACTTTAGGAATTGTTAAAAAATACAGTGATAGTATTTTTTTTTAATAAATTCTAATTTTTTTAAAAATTTTAAACAGCTTTTAGGATGGATAATTTGTAGAGTAATTTTACCAATTTTACTTTTAATAAAATGGAAAAACATAAAATATAATTGAAATGCCCATCCCTTTGTTTTAGAAAGAATTTTACTGATTTAATAGCATAAAAAATATATGTATATTTATTCAATCTAGGCTTCAAAATTTTAAAAGATAATTTAGAAAAAAATATATTAAATAAAATAAACTTCAAGTGAAATAACTAAAATCTACTTGCTATGCAAATAAATAAAAAAAATATAAATACAAATTGAATTTTATATATTTAATACTTGATTATTAACATTCAAACTCTTCCCTATTACAATGAATATAATTATCTACCATGAGAAAAATTACAAATTGCTAAACTATTTGAACTGCTTGTTACCTTTATCTAGACAAATGTGTATTTGCATAGAGACACACAAATTTTTAACAGAACTTTTGACTTACTTGACAGCTTCTGCAAAGCCATCAGTTCGACGAGGAACACACAAAGTTGGGGTGCTGGGGACAGTGCAGTCATCACCCTCTTCAAAGGGGCCAGGAGGTCCCTGCAAAAAAATTCAAATGTAATCTTATAAACATTAAATGATACAAACAAAATAAAAGTAGCTGAATAAAAAAATTAAAAACTCACAGCCATTTTATTTTATTTTATTTTTTTTGGAAAGTGTTTTAAATCTTCCCAATCCCTTAAAGGTGTTAACAACAACAAAAAAAAAAAAAAAAAAGATCCTCAAAGCTATGAACACTATCATATTTTAGACACACATACTCACAATGCAAAAATAATTACATGGGTACATCCAGAAAAGTATCTGTTGAAGAAAAAATTGGAAGAAAATGAGCAGAAGAAAAAAAAAAAAAAAAAATCAAGATGATTACCTGGAACATAAAAGGAGTTAACTGTGATCGACCTGCACTTCCACTACTCCCACTTGCAGGCAATCTATCAGTAGTCTGGGTTGGCAATGGCAATAGTTGAGGGGTTGAACGTTGGCCAGCATTAGTTCCCATTGGAATTGGCCCACTCGCAGCTTGACTTCCTAGATTTAAAAAGAAAAAATGAACATTAATCTTTTTCAATTAACAGTATTTGTCATTTTAGTGAGATTTAGAATGAGATAATTGCCAGCATGCACCAGAAAAAATAACAATTGTAAAATGAAATGGTTCAATCTCCACTATTGTCACCTCAATATGCACTAGCTTAAAAGTAGGGAATTTGTCTGCTTTGTTATAGTAAAAATAACAAAAAATCCAAATTATTAAAGCAAAATATTGCTTTAGAATTAATCCGACATGACTACTGTGTGTGATATAAATAAAATTTTGAAAATTCTGAATTTTATTTTCTTAAACACTAAAAAATAAAAAGAATCATACTGCATAAAGTCTTTCTTTTACAATAAACTTAATCTTTTTTTTTTTTGACATTCAGTTGAACAATAATATTCACTATTTCCTAGTACATCAACTTGTATTCACAAGCAAAGAGACAAAAATGTTCCTTTACACTGATTGAAAACCAAGTCTCATCTACATCTCCACAGAAAGGATATTAACAGACAATGCTAAAGCAGCTCACCGGAATTATCTTGATCTGGAGGACGTTGTTCATCTTCTTCATGAGGATCAACTTGTGGTCTTACATTTGTTTCTTCATCATCATCTTCTGAGCAAGTTAACCAAATGACAAAATCAGTTCACACAGCTCACATTAATTTCAGTTTTTAGCAAATAAAACTTTAAAATTTAGTTAGAATAAAAGATTGGGAACACTTTTAGTTACACAATGCCTATAAAAATCTCTACAAAATGCAAACAGTAACTCAATAAAGTTACTGAATGTTTTGCATAAAAATTAAACCATACTTCATCAGGCAATGCAAGAAATGTACTTGTTTGTAATTTTTTTATAATTAACACTAAAATGGATTCACACCATTTTTTTGAGGAAGGTGATAATGATTGTTCTAGCCAAAATGCTTACTCTATATTTGTTATTAGATGGTAATTAAACTTACTTCATTCAAAAAGATCACTTTTCATTGTGACAGCTGTCATAATTTTTTTTTTTTTTTTTTTTAAATTGTCAAGTTGTACCTATTTTGCTTTGAAGCAAGAAGAAAATAACATTTTCATATTTAGGCATTTTATACTTTTTAAGAAAACAAAGATAAAAAAATGTCCTAGATGCTAAATACATTTATGCAATGTTTTCCGTGTTGAGTAGATCACATTCTGACTTTCATCTGAAAGTTCCGAGATAATTTTTATTAAATCAAGACAACCTTCTTTGCGTAAGAAAAGGAATGATTGTTGTATTTCAAAATAGAAAATGTTCATTGCTTAAGTAATGAATCACACACGGAAATACAGTAGAGTTTTTCTGCTTATGTGGAAACTACATATCAAAGCAACCAATTTTTCATTGCTTGATTCTGATATCTTTCTAGTAGGTTGACTATTACTGATGTATAAAATTGATTATTCTCAAGTAATGCTTCCAGTTGATCATCAACTGATCTATTTGTCTATTGAATATTGTTCAGAAAGCAACAGAATTTTTTGGTGACAGTCTTGCTCATTTCTTATATGTAGCTGTATAGTTATCCATTCAGAGTAAGTATATATTATTGTTTGGTTTTAAGATTTTCTTTTAGCAGGAAACAAAAACCATGTTTGAGAGTATTAATGATCATTTTATTTCCTGTTTTAAGCTTTGTTCTACCTATGGTAACATAGCAATAGGTATGTGGAAGGAGCTGGCAAGACTATGTTTACATAAGGTTATTTGGTGGGGGTGATTTCTGTGGTCTGGCAGTGGCCTAGTCCCAAAAATGCCAGATTAAGGAGGTTGAACTGTACCACCAATAAGATCTTCAATCGGGATAATGCTAGACTGTGTGTTTCACCATTGAATCACCATTTCCAGTTTTTAGAGAATTTTCTTAATGAATTTTTTTTTTTTTTTTATTTCTATGAAAAACTACAAAGAGTACAGACATAGTGCAGCTCTTTGCTCAAAAGAGCATAAAAAAAAGTTCTGAAATGATGGTTATTATGAAAGATAATAGAGTGGGGAATATAATGTGTTAAATAATTACATCAAAAAAGCAAAAATCTTATTTTTACTTAATCTAAACAATTTTTTTTATCACCTTATACAATATACACTCACAAAAAAACAAAATGTATATTTCTTCCATATAATGCATAAATTTCAAATAAAGTTTTGCATATTCTTATCTTCATTTTCATGTTCTTATTGTGTATAATGTAAATAAATATATAATATTTACTAAAGTTATAGTTTGGCACTGTAAACTACCATGAATATGTTTGCAGTTAATTTTTTTCTTCTTTTAAAGAGAAGAGCTAGAAGAATAATTAATTATTGAGAAAGTTTATGCATCCATAACAGGATCCTATTTTATGGTTGGGGAAAGTAAGAAAATTTTAAAAGTTAAGTTTTAAAGAAAGAAAAGAAAAAAGTAAAATGAGTTACCTACCAACAATAACAACATCATCATCACCTGTTTCAGTGTAAGGTTGAGTAGATGCCAAAGTTTCATTGTATGACTCAATTTCATCCTGTCAACAAAAAAAATAGGCATTAAATGGAATACTCGATATTAAGATGTTAATTTTGGAATATCTTCTGATGTAAATAAATGCTACATGAACAGCGATTTCAAAGAAAGAGCTTTCAAGTAAAATTAATTTTTAATTTGAGTTATCCATTTAGTTTCAATATCTGAGGAGCATAAACATTTTTAAAACTCTTTACACTACAAATAAAACAAGCACTTGAAATAATTTTTAAAGCATAAACATTCATCATACAGTTCAGTATATGATTAATCTTGTTTGTTAACAATTTGCTTTTATTTATGGTTTCTACTATATGAACTATTACATTCTCTTCTGAAGGTTCCTTTTTGATGAACAATGGTACATAAGCTTTGCAATTGATGAATCAATAGTCTACTTCATTATAAACTTACAAGTAAAGCCGGTAAACCTTGTGATATACCAAGTGACAAAAAAAAAAAAAATTACTAGATACTAGAAGTATAAATAAAATAAAACCCCCTGAAAGTTGGTTAGCCAATTCCCCATGAGTTATACAACAATATTTTTATACTTTAAAAGAGACTAAGTTAACTAACCTACCTTGTACTCAGGAAAAAAAAAAAAAATAAAAAAATAATGTTAACTCTGTACAAGGCACAAGATCCACTCACAGTAGAGTGAGAGAGCAAAATGCACAGTTTATAGGGATATGTGGTGACGATAAAGTTAACCTTAGATTTGAACAGGTTAAGATTGTAGCAAACAAGGAAGCATCCCCTTGGAAGTTGGTTCCACAATATTTTCTGGAGGAGGGAGTGGGGAGCTGCTTGAGTGGAACTTGCATCTCACCAATGCAATATGAAGGGAATGAGGGTGGTTCACTACAATGTGCACAGTATGGCAGGTCTTAGTCATGAATGTTAGAACTGGTGGAACTAAGGGATGTAATTTGTCTGATGGAAATAGCAATAGGGCATGAGGCTTGCAATGTTTTGTCTGAGGAAAAGGGGTTGTAGGGTGAATGCAGGGAAAAAAAAAAAAAAAAAAAAAAAAATCAAGAAAATAGTGCTGCTTTGTTTTGGTGGTGGCAGATTGAAAATTTTGGTCTACACACCTCAGAATTTTATTGATCAACTTATATACCAATGTATACCATAAGTTCCATCCTAATTTCTTAAAGAATAAAAGTATTAAGTATTTGGATCCATCTATTGGGTTTTTTTTTGTTTAAATATATCAAAAAAGCTTTTAAACAACATCAGAATTGGCAATAATTTTTTTTGCTTGTCACTTTTTGTGCATGTCAAGCAATAGCTCATTATCACTTCCCAAAAAGCTTGTTATATTTGAGACTTTGCAGACACCAGTACTAATACTAAGGCCTTCCAATAATATCTACACTAGTAATACTTGTTCAAGTAGTAATCACCAAATAGTATAATGATCAGAAGAGAATTGTAATCTGTATAGTAGTAGAGTAGAGAGAGTGAATGTATAGCAATAGTGGATAGACAAGAAGGGGGGGTGAACAGTGGTTGTATAGTCGTCAAGCTACTTCGTATTTATTCACTTCCTTTATGATCATGTGATCTACTTACTCATTGGCGATCTAGTTTCAAACCACAGTGTCAGCAACAACACTTACTCTTATACAACACCTTCTCTTTGAAATGACCTCCTTTGGGGTCTATATTTTTTTTAGCTTTGGTTTAATGGTTAGATACTCTGTTGGCCTTCTTTTCCTTTTGCCATAAATCCTTGGTTGCATTATTTCTGGTGGCATAAGAACGTTGAATGTGTCATACAGGATTTCCATCGGTACTTCCACTGAGTCTTTTTAATTTAGTGAAACAACATTTTAGTTGGTTAATATGTCACTTGTGCCCTCACCTATGTCCTTGTATTATGTACATCACTGCCAATAAGTTTCTTAACAATGCCATCTTGCCAAAATTCCTTCCCTCGCTGATATATCCTGAAAAATACTTTTACTCCAGGTTTGAAATAGGCATTTGTGTATTCGTTCTTTGATGTCCTCACCTTGTAGTCAGATAGTAGCTTATTGAAGATGGACTGGATTTTTCTAGCAAACATCAATTCTGCTGGTGACATTCCCAACAGTGTTTGGGTTTGGCGTAATACAGTAAACATTTAAAAACTTTTGAATCATAATCTCGTCCAACTTACTCTCCCTCCGATTTCCTTAAAGGCCTCTTAAATATGCCAACAAAACTTTCTGCTAGTCTGTTCGATCTAGGGTGATACGGTGGGAGGGAGCAGTAATGTGTTCAATTGCTAGTGATTTGATATGAATTCAGTACCATTGTCAGATACGATTGTGTCAGGAACTCCAGATCTTGCAAAAATTTCATGCAAGAAATTAACAGTTACTGTGGTAGTCAGTCTCCTGCATTTTAGTACTTCTGGCCATTTTGTAAAGCTATCTACAACAACCAGATAGTACACTCGATTTATTGGTCCAGTAAAATCAATATGAATTCTAGTCCATGGTCTATCAGTTGTCAGCCAAGAGTGAGTTTGCTGCCAGAGCTCAACCTCTGCATAATTTTACCACATTTTCTATATCTTTGTCCATTTAGCCAGTAGGTGTAGCATATCATTAAAGATTTCATCCTAGAAATCCCTGGATGTCTTCTATGAAACTCTTTCAACATTCATTTTTGTAATGACACCGATATAACTACTCTCTCAGTGTACATCAGTACACCATTGCACAATGAAAATGCACTAGTATTTCCAACAGTATTTTTTCCTGTAGATTTTAATTTATCCTTCATTTTTACTATGAAGTGGTCACTCTCTGCCTTAATTTTTATCTCTTGTAATTAGCAGATCTCTCAGTATTATATAGTACGTTGTTTATTTCGCTTTCAGCCCGAATCACAGCAATCTTGGTACTAATCAAAACAAACCATCCACAAAACTTAGCTTCTTAGACGGTAAAAATTCCATCTTGTAATTATAATAGGATTGTCCTCCAGTGCTGCAGGCGATTTGCCGTATGTGTAGGAACACCTTTTTTTAGATATACATATTGATAACGGTCGATGGTCTGTCTGACAAATAAATTCCCATCCATATAAGAACTCGTGAAATTTCTTCATTGCAAATATAACAGCCAATGATTCTTTTTCTATTTAACTATAGCTTCTTTCAGCTGCAATTAACGACCTTGAAGGATGCATATTGGCTTCATATTTCCGTCATCATACTTATGTAATATCACTGCTCCAATCCTTGTATCACTTGGGTCTGATGCAACAATTTTCAGGTTAGGGTTGAAATGAGTCTGACAGCTCTAATGTTAGTACCTTCTTAATCTGCTAGAATGCACTTTGACATTTTTCTGTCCATTTCCACTTGACATACTTCTTCAGTAGATTATTTAATAGTGGTATCAACTTGTGCATATTAGGTATGTATGTATGATAATAGTTTGCAAAGCCTAAGAATGCTTATAGTTTAGTAATATTAGTTGGCGCTGGCATATTCTTTATCGCACTCGCTTGTGCAAGATCTGGTCTTCTACCGGTCTCATCAATGATCTGCCCTAGATACTTGAATCTGGACATGAATAATTCACACTTTTCTTCCCTTATTTTGAAGCCATAATCTTTGATTCTTTCAAAGACTTTCTTTAAATAGTCAGCATGTTCTTTTCAGGTTTTGCTTTTTTACCAATATCTTGTCCATATATACCTGAGCACAATCCAACCCAGCCGGCATGGTATATATTATTTGTTTGAATATAGCTGGTGCAAACTTTACACCAAAAGGCAGACGGTTGAATTTATATAATCTTCAATGGGTATTAATAGTTAGTAATTTCGAACAGTCTTCATCCACAAGTATTTGTAAGTATGCATCAGAGAGGTTCAACTTTGAGAAAAATTTACCTCCATTTAGTGTTGCAAAAATTTCTTCTGGACTAGGTAATGGGTAATTATGCTGTTTCAACATTTCATTTAGTCTCGTCAAAAAATCAGCACATACTCGTATTCTGTTATTTCACTTCTTAATGTAGACTGTCAGTGCTGCCCATTCAGAATAGTCTATTCTCGATATTACTCCCAAATTCTCCAGCCTGTCCAATTCATTGTTGATTAGATCTACAACCACAAATGGTACACTTCTTTTTGGATTAAATGCAAAACATTACATTTCTTTCAACTGAAACTTGGCTTTTACTCTCATGCATGTCTGGAGACCTTCAGAAAAAAAACCTGAAAAAAAAATCTTACAGTTCACTTTTCAGTTTTTCATTTGCAGAACTGGCAACAATATTTGCATTATTGAAAAACAAGTTAATAGGTACATCCCACAGATCGAACAATGCCATCCAATCTGTACCAAACAGATTAGGCGTGTTTTTCTGACGAACGAAACGTTACAGCTGAATTTGTCTAAAAAGTCTAATCTTTTCCCTGAGACTCCATAAGCGATTTTCTCAGAAGTTAATTACCTGGCTTTACCCATTTTTTTCCCCAAGTCGGCTCATTAGTAATAGTATTATCCAATCCTGTGTCTAATTGCAACGTGATCTTCACATCATTTATTTGTATGAAAACCTATTTACTCTTTTGTGAAATGTAATTAATTTACTCTTTTGTGAAATGTAATTAATTTGCCTTTTGGGTTTCTTATTACTGCATGTATTAATTCTGTTCACATGCGTTTTATTTCTTCATTTTTTTTTGAATCTGCAACATGCACTCTTGTCCTAATTTCCCACACTCAAAGAATTTCTTGTTTCTGAAGAAACAATCCTTTTTAAAATGGATATCACAACAACCGTGGCAAATATTAGGTATTGAGCAGGTTTTATAGCCTTCCTTTATAGTTTTATCAGAAGGTGGAACATGTTTGTAATTTTTCCTCCTAGTTGGTTGGACACTGTGAACCTGTGAATTTTCTTTTTCTTCAATCTTTGCGGTATCAAGCTTTAAATTCACAATGTGTTGACACTCTTCAGCTATTCTCTTTGAGATAGCTTAAAGAGAGTAATCTAAAACATGATTTAATTCAGTTAATCTCTGAACATCATTCAACACAAAACTGATCCTCACTCAAGAATATTCTGCTTACTTCAATTTTGTCTGAAATCTGAATTTTTTCTTTAATATATCATGTGTTATCACAATCTCATATAATAATGCAGTAACCTGATATTGGCTTTAAATTTTTAAGTGGGATTAAATTCACTGCTGGATCTACAAAATCAGCTGAAAATTATAAAATTAATACAAAAATAAATGTTGTAATGAAAAATATTTTCAAAAATACTTAAATGCTAAACTAAAACACTACAACTTACATCTTCATCATCTTCATCTTCCTCTTCATCTGGAATTTCATCAACATCATCATCATCTTCATCCTCATCATCTTCCACTTCCAGCTCGGTCTCTTGATATGTTTGAGTCAACTCTGAGGTTTCATCCTGATTCAAACAATCCAAGACATTAAATAAACATGATAAAAACACACACACAGACAAAATACTGAGTCAAGCATATAGCTATATCCCAAAGTGTTCCTACACATCTTACTGTTACACTAGTGAGAATTGTTGCCAATTCTGATATTTTCAAAATATAAACTTTTCTCAATGCTAATGCATTGAGAAAAGTTTATATTTTGTACTCTAACAAATTTAGATTATAAAATTCAATTGAAATCAACCACAGTACTTCAGCAATTTGTAGAAATGCACATTTATGCTAGATATTCGAAAGCAAATATGAATTGTTAACAATTGCATATCTAGGAATGTTACTCTGAACTTTGATGACCCAATCTAATTGAAAAAATAAAAGATACAGAAGTCTTTTATTCTGTATTTAAAACAGGTTTTGTTGTCTACTAAATTTTTAATAATTTTTTCTTGATTGTTGGTAGATTATGTTTGTACCTTGATGTAAAGGAATTGTCCATAGTGAAAGAAAAGAAAAAGGAAAGTAGATGAAATTCCAAGTAAGCGTATGGTGCTTTGACGTGTTTTTGTAATTTTTACCTGTGGAGTTGATTTTTCTTTTTTAACTTTTAAAACTGCAATATTGCAGGATTGTAACAATGTGGATTATGAAAATTTAAATACATTTTAGAATGTCTATTCCAGAATTGTAAGTGATTTTGTTAATTGGTGATTGTTCTGATTTTAATATTGATAATTGCTAAAATTAGTAATCTTACCAATATTGCATGCTACTACACCAACTCGAAATTTCAAGTAATTTTTTTTTTCTTTCTCAGTCAAAATGTCAGAAACTTAACAAAAACACAAGTATGCGTAATAATTTTATAATAGGATGGTCTATCACCTAATTAAAATGTGGACTTCCAGGTTAATAAAAAAAGTTCCTGATATTCTTTTGGGTTGAGAGGATTTGAATATCATTGGTAAATCTATGCTAATAAACAATAACATTTGGTTACAGAGCATAGTTAAAAGATCATTTTATTTTTTATTTAATCATTTCCCCGCAAGCAATGCCATAAAGCCACTAAGATGCAAAGGATTACTGGGAGGGGTGGACACTTATGGAGAGAGAAGAATAAAAAGGACAGGAATTAACACAGAGGATATTGATTAACATTGCAATTAAAGTCTTGAAGATCAAACGTGACTGGGAAGCAAGAAGCCAGAAGAGAGTTTCACAAACAAGTGTAAGAGAAGAAACTGTTAGCAGAGGACTTCTAGCTACATCTAACCTTTTCAACTGTAAAATGATGAAACCTTGCTGCTAATCTAGTACTGCACTTAAATTCATAAAGTCTAGGTATCATAGAGAATAATTACCACAAAAGTATTTATAGAAAAGACACAGAGAAGCTACATTACGACAATGGGAGAGTGACTAAAGCCAGATGTCAGGACCAATAATATTGCAGATTCTTTGGATTTTATGAAGAATCTTTAAATATATAGCAGAAACACTAGACCAGATGTGGCAGCAATATTGAAAGCATAGAAGAATGGTAGACTTATAAATATGTAAGATGGATTCTGATGAAAGAAATTGTCTAGCGTGACACAATGAATCAACTTTACTATCAGCAGACTGAGCAATTGATTCAACATATTTCCACAGAATGTCAGTGGAAAAACGTTAGCTCGAGAAAGCACAATGAGTCAATCTTCTGGAGGTTAGCATCAGCCATGATGATGGAAGGCAAAAAGGGTCTTCTCAGATGATTAAAAGAGAGCAGTTTCATTTTGGAGGCATTAAAATTAATAAGCCATTCCTTGCCCCAGTTAACAACCGATTGTAGGTCTTTTTGAGATTGAATGCCAATCAGACTTACTATTAAGATGAAAGTAAATAGTTGCGTCATTAGTATAGATATCAAGTTGGGAACTGATAACATCAGGAAGGTTGTTGACGAAAATTAAGAACAAATAATGTCCATCCAAGGGTAGAGTCACCTGCATTAATACAAAAAGATCTAAGTGTAACATGAAAACACCTCCAGAATTTAAAGAAGATCAAATGGATTATGAAACCTGGAGGGAAGATTTGTAATTATGAATACTGTCTGCAGACTTGCTTTTTTTTTTTTTGGGGGGGGACCATTGCAATATATCTAAATTTAACAAGCAGAGCAAAGCTAGCATCATTTGAATTGTCCATGCTAGAAATGAGCACTGAAAATGGGTAACAGTTGCTTATTGAGAAGCTTGCTCTTGTGTTTTGCCAAAATTAACAACTGAAGATGCTTTAATGCCTATTTGGCATTTGAAAATTTAAAACAGGAGCCTAATGGAAATATTGAAGAATACTTAAGTGCTTTTGATATTAAACTTCATAAATCAAGAGAAGCCAATGTGGAACCATGGGATGCCATGCTTGCATGTAGATTGTTGAAATCTGAAAACTTTATATCTTCAACAGCAATATATGTAATCTAATCTGCCACCAAGAAAATCTTATTAAAAATATAATAGATCTATCTTGTCTGTTGTCATTAACAAAACTTGTTTGAATGAACATTTGCTGTCTATGTGTTACTGTGTACAGGTATAATTTGTTTTAGAGTTGATCAATGATTAATCAGCTGATAATTGGTCATACCAGCACTTGCCAATGGTCAGTGACTTTTCTTTTTTTTGCCAGTTAAACAGCTTTCATTCTTGTTTATTACATTACAGAAATTTAATCAGTTATCAATAATATAGAAGGAATTTAAATAATATTCACAATCTTTGAGAGTAATTAAACTAATTTATACAACCATTATTTGTATATATATATATATATAAAAAAAAAAAACTGTTGAGTAAACTTGACAAAATACTAATACTATAGAAAGCAAGTATATATTTGAAATGTCATATGCCATTAAAGATAAATGGAGAGTGAGTGACTTGTTAGCAAGATAAAGAAAAAATCAAAAAGGTAAATTAAAAGAAAGTTTATAAACATTATTCTATTATAAAAATAGCAACTGTTTCTGCTTAATATAATGGAGGGGGGAAATACAAGAAGTAAAAACTGAATTATTTGATCAATAATTTCCTTTTATGTATCACATGCTTAATTGCAATTCCTATTATTTAAGATAATTAGTTTTACTAATGTTTTTTTTTTTTTCAAAGTTCCACTAAGTTATTTTATTATTTTACAAAAAAAAAAAAAAAAAAAAAAAAGAGTTCATACAATTACTTCTGTATAATTTGTCTGAAGTGGCAACATAAGATGATAAAAAAATAATTATATAATTTTCAATAGCTTTCTTGTATAAATAAAACATTTAAAAAGAAAAAACTTTTGACAAAGATCTTTGAGCCTGTTACAAGTTATTTCAACTATAATATTGTTCTTAAAAATATAACCAGATAGTTTACCAAATATATAAAATGATTAAAGATGTTTTTGACAGATTTTAGTTACACCACAGAAAACGGTATTCTAAATAGGGGAGGGGCATTAATCTGTTAAAAGTTCATATTTTCATGTAAATTAGAAATCTTTTCAAATACTATAAACTGCAGGCTATTTGGATGAGAGATGTCAAATATATTTTGAATAACTAACTTTACCATGAGTTATAATAAGGACATTTGCATATGAAGACATTTCTACAAAATGTTTGAAGAACCAAATAGTGGTATAATATCATAGTTTAATAGAACACCAACAGGAAATATTTTTTTTTTTTTAAATGTGAGGGCTTCGATACGATATTGGGCAGTTAGTAAAAAGATGTGAAGATTGCAACAGTTTCTGCATAATACAGATCATATGTGCCATACAAAATACAAGTTATATCACTGCAAAATTTTGTAAAAAACTTCAAATTATAAAGTTCCAAATAACAAGTGTAGTGTACATTGTAATGTTCATTCTTTACTACTTGAAGAAATTTCAGAAGCATATTGACTGTGTTGGGTCTCTACAAGTTACATTCTTGCAGCTCTTCATACATCAGATTTATTTGCCGTTTTCATTCTTCTTCATAATTGGTAGCTTCAGGTGAGATGGAATAAAAGTTAAAGGATTTTTGAGATTCTAACAAATGAGCAACCTTAGCTCCTCTTTTTGAGTTTGGGATTTTATGTTCAGTGAAATCAGAGCTGCTTTTACCTACTTTACAGCTAATTCAGAAATGCAATGTCCACTTTTTCTTAATGATTCAGGTTAGGTTCAAGGGTCTTTATAAAGTGACTGTTGCAGGCTTCACTTTGTCCCTGCAAGCCAAGGGGTTTCAGGTTGACACACTACAGGAATTTCAACATATTGCATGGATCTCTGGTAAATGTTGTTTCAGTTAGTTTATATTGAAATTGATAATGATTATTTGGATCTGTTGCAAATTTTGTTAACTAGACTTTTGGCCAGCTAGTTGAATTTCAATATAAGAAGGCTTAGTGAGCAGTTTTTATTGTAACAAGTTTTAGATTCCAGTTCTCAGTTTTTGAAATGCTTCCTTCCTTCAAAGATGTTTGCAGTCATCAAGCTGTTGACAAAGTCATCCCACTTCACAATGCTAAGATTATCTTTTACAGAATATTGCTTACTTTTGGGTGGATTTTTTTGCATTTTACAACTATGGGTTAAATAGCTTGACTAAGTATGGTGAGTACAACTACACCCCTGAAAGCACAGTCAATCAGGGAGTGGTTCCTCCAACAGGCATCAAAAGGATTTGGATTTTTACTTATTTGTTGCATATGATGATACATAGAAGTTGAAATAATGGATATTTTCTCAACAATGACAAGAATGTTTCTCTCCTAAGATAATTGGCTTTTTATCATATAGAATCTCGTTCTATATTTTGGACAGTAAAGTTCACATTTCAACAAGCAGTCCATGTTAACATAACCACCAATGTTACAAACTACTTAAAACCTTTTTATATGCAACATAATAGAATCAATGTTATAGGAAACATACAAAAACAAAATTGACAGAAAAATGATTTTAAAAATTGGTAGCAAGAATTTCATCATACTGCTTTTAAATTTATACTGTTTTGTGCTATGTCAAGAGCTCTCTGCATTATCATACAGTGTATATCACAAGTAAATACCAACAACTTTTTTTAGTTTTAATCCTAATGACATCTGCATGATACTTTGTTTTATATGACTCTGAAAACACTTAAGTTTTTAAAAATAGCTTATTTAAAATGAAAACAAAATAGCATTAACGAGCCATACCAATGTTGTCTAAAATTATATTTTAAAAATAAACATAAGTACATAATAAAAATAAATGTAAGTACATCAAAAGAGAATGATGCAGAAGCATAAGAAAATGTCACATAATAGTTTTCTTTCTTTTAAATTTAAAATAAGCACAAAACTTCAGGTGTTCAGGTTAAATAAATAAGGAAAAAAAAAAATCAAATATAGATGAAATCTGATTCACACTTGAACTGAAGTTAGCAGATATACTAATTTGTTAATATCAACAATTTTATAAAACTAATTAAATAAGCATAAAATAATTTATCACTGGAAGAATATGTAATTATAAAAAAAGAAAAAAGGCTTAAAAATAGACAATATAACTTAATTCTATTTGATCTAATTGCATATTTTCATAATTTGATTTTCTGATACATCAACACACACTTTGGTAGAGCATATCACCCCAATTTGATCTTTTTGCACTTAATACATAATGGACAGTATTATGTTATGCATCCAGCTAGACAAAAATTAATTATTAGTGTGATTTCTATATGTTTATTGTTATAAAGTGTATAAAATTTGATTCAAGTAATGTGAGAAGTTATATTACATATAATTACATGTATATTACAAGGATGTGTTAACCCAGAAGTAACTGAGACAAGATTTTCTCAAGCATGGACAGCAGAGTGAGAAAATGATACCCCTACAGATTAAATAATGGGTTCAGTCAGAAACTTCTTAAAAAGGTCAACATCTTTTGACAGACACCAAAAAATGACCAAATGATAAAACAGCCAAAATATTGTGATTTTCACAACTAATTTGGGAACAGTAGAGTAAATTGGTGAACAAAAACTCCAATATATAATCTATTGTTTTGCATGCATTTTTGAAAATGAAAAAATATCTGGTTTAATACTTCATTTAGCGTTTTGTCACTAATACCATTGGTAAAAATTTTAAAATTTCTTATTTTACTACTTTAAAAGTAAAGACATTCTTTGCTAAATTTAAATATAAAAATACTTAATAATCAATTGTAGAAAATTTCAACTAGAATAAAAACTGGACATTTAACTTTTAGATATAAGCAAATGTAGCTTTAGAAATATTTAAAATTGCTCCCCACCCCCAAATATTTTTCAATAACAGTATTACATATAAATGTACAACCCCACACACACACATATATATATATATATATATATATATATATACGATGATTACTTAAGTGATTAGACTTAGTGTAGGTAAGCCTATTTTCAGCTTAAAAAAAAAAAAAAAAAAAAAAAATGATAAGATTGGTTAATTTGAACCCCACCAACTTTATGGTTGTTCATTATTACTGGAGAGAGAAGGGGGGCGGGGCACACTAGAAGCAATTAGATTGTTGCTATTTATACATCCTTCCACTATCATACTCAAGACAATCTGTCCAACATTAAAAAATATAGAAGCTTTATAACTTTAGATTTTACATTAATATAAAATTTATTTATTAAACAAAGTTTTGATAAAAGAGAACAGGCAATTCAAATCATTCTGTTGCTTATAGACATGACCAATTGAGAAGAGATTAATCATTATGATGATGAGAAGAGAATGTTAAAGCAGTAAGAGAACTTGAACGTATCAAATAGCAGCAGAGGAGCAGAATAAGTTGTCTTTTCTCCATCTTATCTCATACTACAAATATGCAATATTAAAAGTTTAACAGCATTAGTGAAAATTAAAAACAAAAGCACTGAACTTTCAACAGAAGTGATTTCTTTTCAATATGCAGTTTGACTATATGATTAAACAAGCATTTTGCTCCATATTAATTTAATATTTTTTCTATATCTAGAGTAAATTTTTTTTCCCTATACACAACAGCCATGTATAATTAACTTTAAAAATATTTATTAAATATCACATTAATATAGTTTCTTGTTTTATAATGAAGTTAAAAACAATTTCAACAAGTAAAAAATTATTACTTTATCTTTTTGCACTTTTTTTTCTTTATCAAATCAACATACAGGCTAAGAATAAATTTTTCCTATATATTTTTTTTTTTTTATCATGTATTGTTCAGTTAAAATATTAATGCTGTCAAAAGACCGATTCCCAAGATGAAACATGATTAAAAAGAAAATCACAAAAGAACAGTAATGCCAACAAGATGTAGACATGACAAATAGACCATGCCTTCCATAATATATGCCAAAGGTGGGTGTCAAATTGGGAGCTACAGCACCTACCTGGTCTCCATCACTGTCCAGAATTATGATGGTACTACTCTGGGTGGTCATCTGCGGCCCATGCTTAGTTGGCCTAGCCAAACTCTGCCACTCACTGAGGGTTGTGGCTGAGTGACCTTGGTGTTCAATCACACTGCTGAAGTAGTTACCACCGACTGCAGATGACCAATGGCCAATGTCTGGTCTTGGCCCAACAACATCCTTCAAACAATAAATGTTAACCACATAACCAAATCCAAGGAGTAGAAAAAGTTTCAATAAAGAGCTTTTTATTTCTTTTCTTTCATTGGTTCTTACACCAAGGATTCTTAACCACAAGAATGTTGGACCTGATATTTATGGCCCAAGATTGGGGAAAAACATTTGTCTAACTACCAAAACAGTGCAACATTGGTCTTGGTTAAACTATTTTGAAATTATCAGAAGCTATATGCAAATGATTGTAGAAAGGGTGAGATATAATGAACAGCTATCATCTTGTTTACATTTTAAAACTTTTTTGTAGAGTTTAACATTTTCACTCAAAATGCCAACTGCATTAATTTTATACATCACTTACTATTTCATACAAATTTTATTGCTAAATTAAGAGACCAAATAAATGGTCATAAAAGATATTGACTAGCAACTTAGTGAACATAAACATGGGAGAAGCCATGAACAAGGTTGCCTTTGTAAAACTATGATGAACAGAATTTATTATCTTTACAGCTGAAATCATGCCACATAATAGCTTATGTAGCCTCTGTAAAATATATAAAAACAGTTTATCACACACACACTAGTATTAAAAAAGATGCAGTTTATTTACACTATACAGCTAATAAAAACAGTTGACTGAACAAATACCTTTGGCCTGCAATTTAAATAGTGTTTTAAATAGGCAAAAGAAACTTTTTATTTAAAATCTGGGCAAACATGGACAAATGTGCCCACAATAAAATGTAGTGTAAAAAATAAATTTAATTATTATATGCTATATTATTCAAACCAACAACTTAGTTGTTCACAACATTCATTGTACCCTCCAGAAAACCTTTAGGTGTCTTATCCTACTCAGCAACCTTATCAGAATTTTCAACTGAATCCTTTATTCATTTCATGGGAGTAGACTGTTCTCATACCATCTTCCACTGAATCAAACACAGAAATTTAAATCACAACTGCCAGAGACCTAGATATGTTTTAATCAACTAGGCTGTCTCCTAGACAATCCAGTGGTGTCATTTTAGAGACTGAAGCCTAAAGTTTGTATTCAGGTGGTAGAATTTTACGATTATCTCAAGTCAGGATGCTCATACAATCCACATGGACTGAATAAATATTTAAACAAGAAGTTTACTGAGCACAATGACTAATACCTGAAGAAGACCTGAGAGTACAAGTTGAAAAGTTGTGAATATAATAACCAAGATTAGCATTTAGGTTCAAATACTAAGGGATAAATAATCAGCAAATGTTAAGGATAAGTGTAAGTATTCTATGGTATTTTTAAGAAATAAAAATAGAAAAAAATTAACCCTAACAAAATAAAATATAGAAATGTTTTACACACACGTTTTGAATTTTTTTTTTTTTTTTAAATAAAACTTAATTTTGTCTATCTCACAAAATCATTTCTGTGCATCAGTACAATTTGTATTACATTATAACTTAAGAATACTCTACAAAATATTTTATTAAAACAAATGCCTATCTGAAATAATTCAATTTTTTTTTGTGTGGTCATATATAATTTTGCTTATATATATATACACATACATACACACTGGTTCAACTAATGCAAGGCCCAAGAGTCACTCACAGTAAAGGGTTACCAAGTGAGATTGTTGTGAAGGGAAGGGGAAGGGGAAGGAGGAAATAAGAAGCTGAGTGAAACAAAGGAACACAAAGGGAAGGGGGGATATGGTAGGTCAAAGTTGATGAAACTAAAGAATGTAACATCTAAAAATCTGCCATAGAAATAGCAATATAATAGTGAGAGGCTAGAATTGTTTCATCTGTGGGTTAAAGGTTGCAGGGGTAGAGTATAAATCATCACCAATAAGGTCACAGAATCACTTTTGAACTTTGTCAAGGCTGCCAGTGAGGACTGGGCAGTACCAGCCCAGATGTGGTAGCAATATTTCATTCTTGGCCTGATCTGAATCTTGTAAAAATAGAGCATGGCAACAGGAGTCAGGTATTTTCTGGTGTTATTCAAGGAATCAATCATTCTTTTGTGATGACATGAATATACATGTCATTTGAGGCCAGAGAGGAGTTTTAGAACCAGTAGGCATTCAAAGCAAGAGCCCTGATTGAGGGTATGACCACTCCTCAGGCTTGGTGCATATGAAATGTCACTAAGTTTTGTTTTGAGCATATTGATCGATACAAACCAGACTTACTATATATATATATATATATATATATATAATATATATATATATATACACACACACACACACACACACACACAACATCAAATGTCATTAAGTATGATTATTTTCTTAAAGTGAGTGTGTGTGTGTAGTAGTAGTACTTAGTGTAAAGTGCTCAATATCAGTGATAGAACTAATATATTCAGTTGTATGCATATGAGTTTGTGACCCTGGGTCTCACTTTTTTTTTTCTTTTAAAAAAATATAGTGTGAGTAAGACTGATTTGTATCTTTCAATACCCCAAAAACAAAATTAGTGACATTCAGGGTCACAAACTTGTATCTACACAGATGAATATATATGTAATGCACGCACGCACGGATACCCAGCATTGCTCAGAAGATCTCTGAATAATAGTTCATTATTGACAATTTATTTATATTTTTCAGCCATCTTATGAAAAATAATTTTTATTCAATCTTTAAAAATATAAACTTCATTGTTTTTTGGTTTGTTACAAAATAACTCAATTTACCACAAGGCGGGGGTGGGGGGTGCTTAGCATCCCCATATTTTTTTTTATTCAAAAAGACTATTTTTCTATTTAAATACTAACATAAATACTCTATTAATGTTTTCAAACAAATCAAACTTAGATAAAAGTTCATTAACCTTTTTCAAATTATTAATAAAAAAGTAAACGAACTTAAATTAAGATATATTTAAACATTTAATTTAATCATTTTTTTTTCAAGCAAAAACTATATCAAGCCTTACTTCAAAAAAATTATTTACTATTTATTTTGAAAGAGAAATTAAATTTTTTCAAACAAATAAAGTTGTACTTTTAAACATTACATTAAAAAAGCAAACTTTTCTCCGTAAATGAATTTAATTACTATTTTGAAAGAGCAAGATACATTGAGAATTTAGTTTTGAAAAGTGATCATGTTTAAGTTTCAAGTTATATTTGTATTTGAAAAGAAAAAATTATAATTAAATAAAAATTAGAAGAAACAGATATGAGTTATAGTCAACATTAGTCATGTTGAATATTTATTTTACAAATTTAACTATATCTTATTTAAATTAATTTTTGAAAAAGTAAGGCTTGCTATAATTTTATGCTTTAATAAAATTTAATTTAAAATTTAGTTTTTTATGTTAGTTACAAACAAGAAAAAAAGAAAAAAAAAAGAAAAAAATGAAGTTTATTTTTTAAAGATTAAATAAAAAAAAAAAAAATTATTTTCCATAAGATGGCCGAAAAATATTAATAAGTCAATTAGGATGATACTGAGTCTGTATATACAGACAAACCTCATCAATGGACTAATAAGCGGGTGTCCGTTAAAGCTGATTGTCTGTAGATGGAAAGGGATTATTTTTTTTAGTTACAAAACCTCTATAGTAAATACCAGTAGATATGATCATAATGTAAATACTATAAACATGTATACATGGCATAAATAATTATATACTTAATATCGATATATTAATCAAAATAACAAAAATAATAGATTTCTCACAGCTATTTTCTCATGCATGTGCTAATGTATCATACTTTCTGTCTGTTTACAATTGAAAGGCCCACCACCGCTGCCAAGCAGTAACTTTGAGAACTAATATGACCTGTTCCCCTAAGCCTGCAAATTTTGAAATGCATCACTGAGAATTTGGAAGTTTTTTTTACTGTTTTGTCTGTAGAGGAGAGGTTTGTATATTTATTTTGTAGGTGGACGGACACACACAAATATTTGAATAAATAAATATTAAACTTTTTGGCGAATAATTTTATTTAATATTCTTTTAAATGTACTTTGTTGTTTTAATATTCATTTTTTTAAAGTTATGCTTTTATTTACTATAGATGTGAAAACAAATTCAAGTTTAAATATATCTTAATTTAAATTTATTGACTTTTTTATTAATAATCCCCTCCAAAATAAATAGTAAATAATTATTTTTCAAAGTAAAGCTCACTATAGTTTTTGCTTTAAAAAAATGTTTAAATTTAAGTTTAACTTTATTTAGATGTTTTAGCTGGACACACTTGAATATTAAACTTTTTGTCAAATAATTGTATTTAATATTCATTTTTTAAATTTACTTCGTTTTAATATTCATTTTTTAAAGTTATGCTTTTATTTATTATAGATGTGAAAATAAATTCAAGAAAATAAAAATTTAAAAATATATACATGTATAGTGTTTCGAAAGTATCAGCAGAAAAAAAAAGTAAAAACGAACGGTAATTCTAATCATGAATAAGAATTATTACCATTCGTTCTTATTTTTTAATTCTGAAAATTTCAAATGCATTTTAATTTTAAAATATCTTCATAAATACAAATCATACAATAATTTTTTTTTTACAAAAAGCTGGCTTGAGTGATAATGAGTCTGTATATATATTTACTTTTTCATTAATTACTGTAGCTTTTTAATTTTAGCTGGACACACACACACAACTGCTTTTTATATATGTATAGATTGTGAGCGTGTGTGCATGAAATTAACTTCTGAGGTGAAGTTTATTAGGAATAATTTCCCCCATCCTTTTTTTTTTGTTTTATAATCTCATAAAAGTTAGCCTTGTTCATCTACCAAAAACATCTTTCTTCAAGTACTCCAAAAATAAATCAAACTTTTCTTTTTATCTTAGTTATAAATAGCAAGCCAGGATGGGGAGGGAACTAATTTTGTAAAACACTTCAAGACAGACTTGAAAAATAGATTCTGACTAATTGCTTTAGGTAGAACTTTTGCCTATTCTTCATATCTCATTTTTTTTTACGGACAAGTGTAAATCAGAAAATTTGTATAATAAAATAAAGCAAATAAAAGACAACACTTTAATGGGCATGGTGTGTGTGTGTGTGTGTGTGTGTGTGTGTATGGGGGGAAATGGAAATCTTGTATACATATCTTAAAGCCCAAATGTAAAAGAATTATAAGTAGAGAAAATAAATATTTGAATCCATTCATTTTGGATGCTCGGAATATCAAGTACACTTATGCATTACTATTTAACATTCCTTCTTTTTATGCATAAGATGCTTATAGTCTTCCAAAGTCAGATTTAGATCAAAATAGAAAATTTCATAAGATTTTTTTCCTGACATCTACTTTAAAATCCAAACAACCTTAGGCAAAAATTCTAGATTAAGAACTATAAATTAGGAAAAAAGAAAAAAAAAAAAAAAAAACTGAAAAAGTATAAGTGTCTAAAATTTAAGAAATGCTTATCTAATAAAGGCAAAAAATTTAGTAACTTGTTACTAACTTGTTTCTTCTGAGCATCAGTTGAGCTCAGAATTGTGGTTTGAGTCTGCTCATCTGTTACAGTAATCACTGGAATAGAACCCATCGAAGCCTAAAGAAAAATAAAACAATTGCCTATATCTGTTCTTACTTTAAAAAGAATTCTTTTTTGAAATCTTGAAATTAGCACTAACATATTTAACACTGAATTTCAAAGCTATAAAATAAATTTTCACATTCATTACAAAAGAATTTAACTGGATATATACTGGATATCCTTATATTATAATAGATTTTATTAAAATATTAAATATTTTATACATTATATGAAGAATATTTTTGTGAATATCACTCATATTAGTGAGTGCTAATTAACTTTTTCAATATTCTTTAAAATTAACACATATGGAATTTCTTTTAGCAGAAGCATGCATACTTCATATACAAGTATAGTGCAAGTTTTTGTGAACATTTTTTTATGCATAAAAACACAGGTTTTTTTTTTTTTTTTTTAAGAGGTTAAAAATCACTAATTTTCATTTTTATTGACTGGTTGCCCTATATACATGTAATTTTTTTTTTTTCAAAGGTGGGGGATTCATGACAAAATATTCAGGGGTCACACTATACATGAAGTTAGCCTATACACAAGTATATAAGGTATGTCTTAGTATTTAAAACAATAGCAGATATAGTTGGCTTAAAAAATTACAACTTCAAGTATTTTATAAAAAAAAAAAATAATTGATGCTAATATGCTAAAATAGATACCACCACTAATTCACTGAAAAAAATAAAATAAAAATACCACAATGAAAAAAGGCCCCAAATTTGATAAAAAACAACATTTTAATCATCAATTTTTTTTTGCTATTAAAAGGAAAGACCAAAGTATTTTTTGATTATTTAATTTTTTTAATCTTTCCTATTACATTCGAAATTTTGGTTAAAAATCCTGTTTTTATTGCATCAGTAGGTAGGGTGTGGGTGGGTTAACCAAAGATTAGTATAGAAAGTTTTAGGGTCTTTTTTTGTGGTAAAATATATAATTTGGAAATTCTTGCAAAAAAATCAAATAATTGTCAGATTTTAATGAAACTTTCAGGACTTATTCACAAATGAATTCAATTATTTTAGTTTTTTTTTTTTTTTTAAATCTTGGTAAAAATATTATTTTTTACATCTGTTACCACCACTTAATTTTATGAAATTTCAAGAAATTAAATTTTCACCCCCTCAATTAGTTAAAAGCAGAACTCCATGGAGAATTTAAATCAAATTTTCTTGTAAAACAAACATTTACTAAAAACCTGCTTTGAATTGTAAAATAAAAAATGCAATAAAACTAAGACATTTAATTAGAAAAGCTTTTAATTGCTTTTATAAATAAGATATTAAGGACATCATTCTCTGATGAATAATGAATTTTTGCAAAAATTGTTTATTTTTTTTAAATCAGAATAATTTAAATTTTAAATATTTTAAAACTTAATTTTGTCCTTTTAAATAATATTATTAAGTAAAAACTATATTTACTAATCACAAATTGAAAAGCTTAGTACAATTCATCAAACACCAATTTTTTTTAAATTTTGATTTTTTTTTTTGTAAGTATATAAACATGCTATTTTTTGCAGATACAGAGGTTCATTATCAGAAAATAAGAGCGATAGCTATAGTAAATTTAAAGCCAAAGTATCTAAAACTCAATAAAACATTAAATTACAGAGAATATTTTCCTAAATTTTTAAGATTACTGAATATTTAAAAATTGTTTTGAGGAGTGAGGGCTCATGCTATATTCTTCAATATTTTTTTTTTTTTCAGAACCCCCACCACCACCACCAGTAGAAAAACATTAGATAAGCATCTGTCATCAAGCTGTGAACAGCTACTGCCATGTTAAACAAATGCATTTCTTTGATATTTTAAACTCATTTCAAATCAGATTAATTATACTTTAAATCAGCTAATATTTCTCAAAGTTTCAGAAAAGTATATCTTAGTTTTGGAAGATTTTTTTTTAGTAAAAGAGAATTACATTGTGATAAATGAGGGGGGAAAAAAAGAAAAGAAAAAAAAAGTGCTTAAATCAAATTTTTTAGCAAAAAAATATCCTTCTTGCCAATGTAAATTAGTTTTGAAATAGAGCAAAGTATTTTGCTTACTGGAAATATTAAATTTAACCTATTAGCTTGAGATTAAAACCAAAATAAAAGCTTCAAGAAAGATTTTTCATTTTAAAAAATTCATTGTAAACCTTAAGAATCGTGAATCTGTGGAGGTAACTATGCTAAAGTATTCATCTAACATTAATTACTTACAAATTTAAATTTTAAGGAAGATCATAAAAGCCAAACAAAAACATTACTTACTTGCCCAGTTTTTGAACGCTTTACTTGATTATCTTCTTCAGAACTAGAAAAAAAAACAAAAAAACAAACAAAAACATTTAGACGATTTTACATTCTGGTGGAGATTTTTAAGTAAATACCATCTGAAAATATGTAATAATTCAATATTGCAAGTAAATTATCAGAAGTTTAAATCTAGATTATAAATCATTGAAAAAAAATAAAAAAAACAAAAATAAATGAAAAAAATAAATAAAAAAAATAAAATAGAAAAAATTTAAATTAAAAGACTTCATCCATATCTTCATTTAAAAAAAAATAAAATAAAATAAAAAAAATCAATAGTCACATCATGTTGAAACACCGGTTCCCATATATCACCAAAGTTAAGCAACATCAAGCCTGGTCAGTACTTAGATAGGTGACCACTTGGGAACATCAGGTGCTGTAAGCTTGCATGTGCAGGTGGTGTAATGGCACAGAATTGGAAATTGGAGTGCCAAGTTCTAACTCCTATTGGGTTTGTTATATTAACTTATGCGCAAATACCCTTGGGAAAGATGGGTTAATTAGTAAGACATCACTAAACCACTATTATCTCAAAAAATAACTTGCAAAGGGTTGGTAAGCTGTAGAAAACAACTCAACTATTAAATCAAGAGGTTTTGCTTAGTGCAACAGCCACCTAATTGTACAAATATACTTCCAAGTTCTTGATGGTTTTTTAATGGTATACATTTGATGATTGGAAGGTAAAATATGCCTATTAAAGTACAATCAGTAACATTTTAACATTTTAACATTTGACAAAATCAGAAGAACTTTATATTCTATAGTTCATTCCTTCCACACTACCCAAAAAATCTGTCAGTATATTTTTTTATTTACAGAAATAAGACTTACACATCAGTATCATCTCTGCTTCTTTTGTTTCCAGACTGAGAAGTTGATGGTTGAGGTTGCTGTGATTGTCCAGTGGGGGAGGATGTTGATGGCTGAGGTTCAGACCTATCTGTTTCATCTGCAGTTGAAGTGGATGTTGTTATCGTACCAGACAAAGTAGAAACTTGCACAGTAGCTGAGGTTGCAGATGAAGCAGCACTGGTAATCACAGAGGTCATCTCCATCTGCATAGGAGAAAATGTAGTGGTTGCCGGAACAGATGGCTCTGAAGAGAAAAAAAAAAAAAAAAAAACAAAGCGTTAATTAAATTCTAACAAATCAACATTCAAATGCAACACTGTTTATATAAAGTAATAAAAGCAACTGCTGATCTCTGAATATTCCTAAAAATAATTCACATTATAAAAATCCTTAAAATATAGTTGTGCATTAATGATAGGTTATTCACATGCAGAGAAAAACAAAAATTATAAAACAAAAACCACTTTTTTTGTTGCTATTTACCATGGAAATGTTGGATACATAAATCTCAAATGTGAAAGATACTAAAAATAATTCTAACTTGACAGTTGCATCTGATACATGATTTTGCCAGCAAAATCAGAAATTAATTTAAAGTCAATAAGATACAAAGTTTATATCAATTTAACACTTCCATTCTTAGTTCTCAAAATGGTAAATTGTTATAACTTTGTAAGATCTTTTTGAGAAACATTCAGAGAGCAAGGAAAAAAACAGCAAGTTTTAATATCTGAACAGAGAAATATTTAAAATCAAATAGTTTTAGAATTAAAAGCATGAATAACTAATGTAGCCATATAAAATATTTTCATATCATAGCCACTTATCACAACTTTAAATCAAACATATTCTGCTATTTCAACAAACTCTAAGCTATTAGCAAGTATATGAAATTTTATCATATTCTACTACATAAAATTCCAGAATATGAATAATTTTCTAGGTCCAAGAGAAATTGATTGAAACTTTGTAGTTTTATTAATTATAACTTTAAAGGCTTAAATCTTTCAAATTGCCTAATGTTAGAGAACTGTGATTCTTAAAATAAGAACACCATTTGGTTTGGTTGTTTTTGTTTAGTGGCATACCAACTCCAATGGTTTTAATGCTGAAATCTAAATATTTCATATGCAATTTTATGGCTTCAACTACAGATATTTTATACATAATTTTTTTACTTTCTGAGTATGTTTTATAGATATATAGTTTGTAGATTATCTATTGTAGGTGTTATGTTTTGGTATAAACCTATTTCAAGGTAGGACATTATGCTGATGGTTTCAGTATCTTCAAATAGTTTTCTCATGTTTTCCTTGTAGCATTTATGTCTTATAGGTGAGTGCGCCCAATTAAAATGTGTTTCACTGTGAAAAATAAAAATGTGAATATAAAACTTTGTGTGCATTTTAAAATATTTCTAAATTCTAAAATGCTCTAAAAATTTAATTTAAAACTATAGATCAAATTTTGTCCATATTTTACCAATCAACAAAATCTTTTGTTTTTTTTACAGTGTACATAAAGAATTATGCCATGTAATAATAAAAATTATTTCTTTTGGATTTGATAAACGTTTGTGAAACAAGAATGCCTTTGTAGACATTGAGACTAAACTAGTGTATTCTAGTTCACATTTTTATTTTAGGTTCTAATCCAAAGACAACAAAAGGAGTCACTGCTTTCAAAAATAGCAACATGCCATTCATAAGTTGTTTTCAATCTTGTCATCTAATTTATTTATCAATATTTTCGTCTAAATGATAGATATCAGATGCCCTCCTCATATACACCAAATATTTCATGGTCAGAGATTGTCTTGGAGTATCTAGTAAAATAACTATCAACTGCTTGCAAGACCAGTATAGACATTTTATATCAATACAGTGAAAAACTATTCTCACAACTCTTGTTTTTCCTCGGTATTGAGTAATGAGCCTCAATTTTATTATCACAAGACCAGAAGAAACTTTTTCACTGCTGTATGAGTATTTTTTTTACCAATATTTTTATATTTATTCCTAAAAATGAAATCTAATAAATTTTGGAAAAGTGTTTTTTACCAGTGGTAAATTATATGAGCAGGCTTTTATAATAGCATACAATCATCCTTGACCTGAACAAGAAGAAACTGGTAAAGGCAACTTTGGCATTATTCCTTTCATGGAATCATGACCAATGAGAACCGAGTCTATGACTAGTGCATTACCTACCTTGCATAACTTCAATCTGTGGAGTGACACGCTGAATCTGCTGTGTGGGCCGACCAGTCAAAGGCACTGCACTGCTAAGTTGGCTGATAGTTGAAGGGGGACTGTCTGTAATACCTGAAGCACACAACAACAGCACACATTTGTAACAGTCATTGGTTGCACTATGTAGAGGGGCTAACTAGGAAAATTCCTAAATGTCAGTCATGTACATAGACTTCTTTAATTTCTGGTCATATATCCTTCAAACAGAATCTGGGCTCTTTGCCATTGTTACAGGATGAGAGATTTAGAAACTCTATAGAGGTCAGTGTTGTAAATTTAAAAGATTATCACTTGTAATTTGTTTATGTTTAGGCAAGCTATTCACGTTTTTAGATTTTGACTTTATGATTTGGTTTAATGTAGTTAATATATCCAATATTACTTTAACTACTGTCAATTAAACAATTGCAGTTAATTGGAGTGTGTTGATTCAATGACCCCCTCCAAAGAGTTGAAAAGAAAACAAGCTATTTGAAATGATACGAAAATGGAAACAATGAAAATTAACAAAATTAAGGTTATATAGAGAGAATTATTGAAAATTCATTTGGATAAGCTGATCTTTCTAAACAGAGCTCAGGTGGTTGTTCCAATACAAAAAATAGTCAAGATGAAGAGAAGGAAAAAAAAAAAAAAAAAAAAAAAAATTTTTTTTTTTTTTTTTTTTTTTTAATATCCTACACATCAAGCAGTAGGTAAAAACAAAAATACCAACATCCCCAAACTTCTTATTAATCAATATTTCAAATTATTCAAGATTGAAATAGGTTAATAAAAACAAACAATTATATGTTAGTGAAAACTACAGAATTACATTATCTTATTGAGAAAAAAAAAGAAAAAAAAGTGTGCATTTACCATCATGACTCTCTTGTGAAGTAATAGTGGTTGGCATCACAGTAGCTGTTGGTGTAGTTGCAGAAACAGGACTCGCAGTAGTTGGGGCAATGGCCATAGGCCTAATGCTAGCAGTAGCCTTAGCAGCAGCTGCAGCAGACATCATAGGTTGAGCTGATGTTTGTCGAACTGAGGCTGGTGTAGTTGAAGTCATTGGGCGAATGTTGGCCATTTTAGGAGTTTCACCTACAGGCAGGCTGTATCAGCAATAAACAGTTTCTCTTTTAATAAATAAAACATTAAAACACAAACAAAATTCTGAAAGTTGTACAATTTTCTGGTATATTTTTATTTATGTTAAAAAGTAAGCATAATTGTTGTAGCATTCACTTCTTATAAAAGCAAATATCAAAAATAACTAATATTACACTTTGTAAATTTCTAAGATAAAAAGCAATTACTTTCTTCATAGAAAAATAAGTTTATACAAAATTAAGAAAAGATACACACAATGAAATTATAATTTGTAGCACAATTTGTTTTTGTTTTGTCTGAAAGTGTATCAATTTATATTACCCACCAAAAAACTTGCAAAAGTGTAAAAATGTCTACATAACTTTGTAAATTCACCTCTTCCAATCAGTGAATGCAGTGTTTATAGAATCTACTGAAGAATTAAAAATTTTTTTTAAATTGATATATTCCAAACAAGCAAACATCAAAATATACCAGCAATAATCTAATACCAATTCTTAAAGTTAGTATTAAGATAATTATTTCTATCATTTACCTCAATCTATCTGCAGATACAGCAGGCGTTGTGGCTCTAGATACTGATGGCTGTTGCTTCTGCTTTACCTCCAACTGTTTTTGCATTTGCTGTACCTGAAAAATAATAATCCTAACATGAATCATTCAATATAAAATTATAAATGAAAAACAATATTTACATTTAAATGAAAATCATTTTTTTCTTTTTAATTCTAATATTTAATCAGAAATACCAAGGAAATAATTTGCTTTAGAATTTTAAGCACTGTATAAATTTCAATAATTTTAAAACTTGAATGCCCTGCATTGATTTTCAAGTTATCCCAGCTTTTTTATTAGTATGGCATTCAATATGATGCTTAAGCAGAGCTAATATAAAATAATTATCTATTAAAAGGTCTTAAATAATACATCTAAAAGAAATCTCCCAAAGCATAGCAAAAAAAGAAAGAAAAAAAAAAACTCTGGTTTTATATAAAAATTACATTGGCAATAACCGTGAAAAAAAAAAAAAAAAAAAAAATATAAGAGCATCTGACAAAAATTTGAAAACTTACTTTGGCTTGTAACTCTGCATTTTCCTTCTGGAGTCGTTCTAGCACTTGTTTCATATCCCCAACAGATGCAGCAGTAGCATTTTGTCTGGCTTCTTCAAGTTCTCTCTCCAAGTTACTAATACGACCTTCATATTGAGATTTTATAGTATTTTCTCTTAAAACATTTTCAACTGGAACAAAGAAAGAATCAAGATTGTTGTTTTTCTTTTTTTTTTTTAGATTTCCTAATTACATGAAAACTATTTCTAGGATTCACATTCCAATATTATCAATTTGCCTATCCATTCTTAAAAATGGAAAAATAAAAACAATATAATCATTTCATGGGATCTGATTCACGCATTCATAATTTACTTATGTTTTTCTCAGTTCAGTTTAAAACCTACTGTTAATTTTTTTTTCTGATGCCTTACTATATATGAAGGTTAGAACTTAATTTGCAATGAAATTTTAAAAAAATGCAAGGAAAAACAATATTATCATATATTCTATTTTATTTTATGGCATAGAAGAAAATTCTGCATTAATATAGCTGAAATACTCACTCTTGGCTTTATCAACATCTTCCAGCAATCTCTTCTGTTCTGTTACTTCACTTGTCAACCTTTCCAGTTGTTCCTTTTGGGTGGTTATTTTAGCTTTAGCATTTTGGAGGACATTCTTAGACTTTAACTGATTGTTTTCCAGTTCAGTATTTTTAGCTTTTATTTCATTTATTTCCTGGAGGAAAAATAAAAAAAAAAAATATAAAAAAAAAAAAAATCAGTGTAATTTGCATGGGTCCTGCTAGTACTCATCAATGCAATAAACAAAAACTGAAAATTATCAGAATAAGAATTATTTAAAAAATTAGGACCAGGATGTTTAGCACATCAAAGTACTTCTTGGTGATTCTTTATAGTACTGCAATAGAAAAATGAATTTCCAAATACTTACTTGCTCTAATGTGGCTCTTAATTGCTGTTCTTCCTGTAACTTTTTATCAGCTTCTTCAGCTTTCTTCTTGGCAGTTTCCAACATCTCATTTGCTTCAGCCATTGCTTGTTGATTGCTGCCTTCAGAAGTGGGCTGCATTTGTTGGTTGTCTCTCAGTTCACTCAATTGTTTCGCAGTGTCCTCAGCTTGGTCTTTGTATTTGCGACCAATCTTCTTCAACTATAAGTGGGAGGAAGGAGTTCAAAGGAAAAATGATAATTTGTCAGATATCCCTCATCAATGGTTATAAATCAGCAGCAAATTTATTATTAAAAAAAAAAAGAAAAAAAAAAAAAAAGGAAAATGTATCACATGAAATCAAATGTTATTGAAATATGTATACATGTATAGATTTGTGAGATAATAATTTTCAAAATATATCTTTGCTTTGTGACATTGTAATATTTAATATTTATAATAAATTCTTATTACAACTCTACATTTCATTAACTCATTGCAGTATCTGATTTTTCCATGATGTGAAATATGACAGTATTAATAGCATTTTCAAAATAATGTATATGAGAGGAAGATAATTTTAGTAATGGAGGAAAAAATGCTAAAATTTTCAAACAATGTATATTTGCAAAGTATACCTACTGACTAAATACTCAGTAAGATTAGCAAGTCTAAGTAACAAAATTTTCTTTTATCTTCAGCAAAAAAAGTGATTACCTGTGAAATAGTTTTGGCTTTTTCTTCAACATCTTTGTTTTTAGTTTCCATCTCTTTATTGAGTTCTTCTAATTGGTTGCGCAAAGTCGTAAGCTCAGAACTAAAAATAAAATGTCAGCATTTAATCAAGAAAAAAAAAATTTAACAAATCTAATCATTGCAAAAAAATAAATAAATAAAAAAAACAAAAAAAACAAAAAAAAAACATTTTTCAATGTAGATAAAACAAATGAATCTTCAGATTATTTTCAAATTTACAAGCTTAAAGGTTTTATCAACAGTTCTAAGTAGTCTGGGAGAATGATTTCTTAAATTTAATGCAAAAATAGAGAATATACTGGTTAAAATATTACAAACAACCTGAACAAAATCATGTAACAGAAATTAAGTTTTATAAGCTAGTTAATGAGATTGCATTTAAACATAGTTATTATATTAGGTACAATTGAATATTATTAATTCAAGGTTAATAACTATCTACACAAGTAAAAGAAAAAAATCTGAATGTTCAGTTAGGAATTTGCTTTTCTGACTCATTAGTCAACACCAAATGTGTAATTCCAAACCAAATACTACTTTTGATAAATCTAAAATGAACTTTCCTTCAATCATTTTCACAAAAATAGGACTGTTATATCATCACTGCCATTCTGCATGCATGAATAAATATGCAACAAACTGTAAAGCAATGTTTAATATTTAACACTTACAATAGTTTAAAAGAGAAAAATACACAAGCATTAATATTTTTTAATCAGTTATTTTATCAAATTATAATAGCAAATTTTAATTTCCTAAATTCAATAAGCATTGCAAATAATTACACATTTAATTCATTCATAAACAACAATGAAAAAAAGCACTATTACAACTACTTACTCCTTTTTATTGGCTTCTATTTTTATAGCATTCAATTCTTTCCTGAAAAAATGTAAGTAAAATCAAAATTTAAAATTAAAATTTCATAATTGTTAATTAATAAAGTAAAATTTTATCTTCAAGAAAATAGAAATTTTACGTACAAGGTATTTGAGTGAGTAATAGTGATCCTGGAAATTTCTGCTCTATTAAAAAAGAAGAAAAAAAAAAAATATTATAATTTGGTTCTGAAAAAAAAAAAAAAAATAATTTCAAAAAAATAAAGCCTGCTTGTCAGTACAACTTCAAAGCTATGATAGTTGACAATGATCACTTTTTCGAAGGGTCAGTCAGTTATGTGCCATGAATGATACATACTTAGGCGATCATGTATCTTTCAATACATCACTGACAAGGCAGATTTTTTTTTCCTGCAGTAGGTTGCCATTTCTTTCTGCAGTAGACCAGTTGCCATCCAAGGCTATAGAACCTGGTCTGTCCTGCTATTTACCCATAGCTGGGGGGAGAAGACGAGGATTCATACCCTTCTCAAAGGTATTAGCATGTAAGTGAATGTAATGGATTTGACTGGAAGTCAAACTCGGCTCTCTGATTCCTCAATCAGAGCTGCTAAATTTCATTATAAATGAACTATCTAATAATATCTATTGAAAACAAAAGAAAATAAAATTCACTGCAGATGTTTTTCTGCTAAAAGCTACCAATTTTAGAACGTTGACTGGAAGAGATGTTAAATAAATACATACATAATTAAAATAGAAACACCAAATGTTATTTAATACATAACAAGTCCTAGAAAATCATAATGAAACTATTAAAAAAAGAAAAAAACAAACACACACACTTAACAAAATAGGTTATTTGGTGGGGGGGGCATTTTAATAGCCATTGCTTACCAAATACAAAGAAGGTAACTTACTTTTTTTTGTGATTGTCTTCATTGAGGGTTGAAACCTGTTTCTTCAGATCTTCTCTTTCTTGCCTGAGTAAACAGAAAGAAATAAAATACTATAAACACTTTCTTACCCATAAATGAAGTAAAATGTTTTAATCAGGAGAAAAAAAAGCACTCCTTTCAAAATGTATGTTAGGTCCAGCTTAAGAATAATTATTCTAGTTAATACTAAAATCCAATTTTCTGGCATGCTGTGTCAAGTATTATCTTTGCTTTCATTGTCCAAGGTAGAGCAAAAAAGCAAAATACCTTTGTCAGAATTTCTAAAGTGGGTAACAATTCAATGTCACTAGCACACTCTCTTTCAGATTTTAGATACAAAATTGAATTGAAATATTTAAAGAATGAAAAGGTTTTATTTGGGCATGAAATTTTAGCATCTCCTCCAGGGGGTGGGGTGGGGGTGGTTGGTTGTATATTTTGTTGACAAAAAGATTAAAAGACAGTAAGAATGAATAACTATCCTCATATTGAATGAATCTACAGAGCAATAAGATTTTTTTCAACATATTACAATTCTGCTTGTTTGTTACATCCTATCAATACCTCATAAATAATGGACTATTCTGTTGATTCAGGAAAGAAAAGAGTTTGATTTCAGCAAAAGAAAGTGAACATGTGTTTAATGTCTGTTTCAGTGAAATGGAAAACTTATCAATTTCAAATCTTTTCATTTGTACCCTCTTATTTCTTTAAATGACCTGCATTCATATTTATGATTCTTTTTGCAATATTTGGTTAAAGTTGTTAAGCTTAAATATTTAATGATGCAATAAAGGAATTTCCACAGGTATTTTATAGTTGTAGAACTTGCAAGGAGTTTATTCAGCTATTAACTTAATTATGATTCATCCAGCACTACAAATAGCAAAACTGAAATTTTCCTAGGTATTACTAGTAAAATTTCAAGTTTGGATTTATCCTAAAACCCAATAAACTAGATAAATTTTTCATTACTTGTTAATCTTATCTATATAAAATGAGTAAAATTTTTGTATGATGCTAGCTTCAAAACAAATATAATACAAATTTATCATGAACAATAGCAATCCCAATATGGTTTACTCACACAATGCGTCTATGTTCCTCAGGATCCGACTTATTGCACTGTTCAATCAGACGACTTGTTCGGGCTTTCCATCTTTCCACTTCTCCAGTCAGATTATTTTTCTCAATTGTCAAAGTATCTTTCTGGCTATTCAACTCACGAATGTTTGATTGTAATGGTTGTATATCATCTTCCAGTTTTTTCACCTGAATAGCAATATACCTACATTCAGTCAATCATAGCATATTTAACCAAAGGCCTTAAAAATTTCAAACTAGTAGTTTATTTCTTGGCATGTCACATCAAATAGAACTAAATGCATTTTCCAGTATAATTTTTTAAAACCCTCTCCAAGCAAGAGAAATGTCAAGGACTACTAATTCTTGCCTAAGATATAATAAAGTAAATCAGATATTTAAGAATGCATAAGTAATATCTACAGTAATATCTTGAAATTTTATTAGTCAAAATGTAGCCAACTATTTTTTCCTCTTAATTTTACTTTTTACTGCAACTTTCCGGCCAGTAATTACGATGTATTTGAAATAAAGAATAAGTTCTTGACATCAACTTGCATCTCTTTTGCCTTGACAAGCCAGTTTTTTTTTAATATATGCTATATTTCTTGAACTACAGGAGCTTTACACTTGGCAGCTCATATACCACAGAAACTTACTCTTCATTTCTTCCTCCTCTCTCCATCACTCAATAATTATTTTTTCAACATACCCCAGAAGTACAAGTAGCAGTAATATCTTGTTTTTTTTTTCCCCCAAATAGTAGTGATGCAAAACAACCAAAATCAAAAAAAGTAGTAAATATCATCACTGTCTACAGTATTTAATTCTAAAAATCTTTTAGAGAAATTTCAATACTGAATAATGGAGGAAATGTAAAAACATACCTTGGTTGTTAGCTCCTTAACTACACCATTGAGCTTTTCTTTTTCTTGCCTAAGCATAGCATTGCTTTCAGAGAGGACATTCAAATTTTCAACTTTGCGCATCAGCTCAGCATGTTGAGATGCAGTGTGGACATTGACCTACAAATAATTACAAAATCTTAGAAACTTTATCTTTTGTAAAAGGAATATTTTGATTACACACACACACACAATCCTAATATTAACTATTTAAAAATACAAAGTAATTCAATAGTAAATGTTTAATATAAAATACATTTGATGTGAGTAAAAGCATACTTCAATAAAAATAATGTAGTCATTTGAAAATGAAATAGAAACAAATTTCTGAGACAAAATCTTAAACACTTTTAATGAATGTCATAAACACTATACATTTTTCAACTTCTCAAAACTGTTTTCAAGCATATCTGCCCATAACTTCATTATTTTGACATTTTCTAATGACTCACTATTTCTTCACTTGAAAGATCTACTGATACATAAAAGGACAAGAAAAAAATATCTAAATTCTTAATATTATTGTATTATTTAAATTTACAACATTTTAAGTTTATTTTTAGAAATAAAATGCTGCTGCTTCCTTTTTTGTAAAAAAAAGATTCATATTTTAATTCACTTTTTATTATGGTGACAATATAGTAAGAGTAAAAGGACACTCAATTTAATTTTACACATTCAAACTAATAACTATTAAAAATTATTTAGTATTTAATAAGATAAATTAACTAAAAAAAAAAAAAAAAATAAAAAAAATGTGTCAAAATTAAGGAACGGTAAATGAAATAATAGAAATTATCACAGTCAAAAAAGCAGGGAAAACTGTTTTATCTTCACCTGTGATCTCTCCCTCTCTTCAGAAAGATTTTTACAAGTTTCTTCATATTGCTTCTGAAGATTTTCCAATCTCTGTTTCATTCGAAGTGTTTCTGCTTCAGCTACTTCTACACGAGTCACTGAAATTTCTTTCTCTTTACGCAAGAACCTGAAGGAAATAAATTATGATTTTTCTTTCTTTTTTTTTTTTTTAAAAACATGAAACATTCACACAATACCATTACAATATTCTTCTACAATATGATTAAACTGCCAACACAAAATTCTTTTATTGCAAACAGTTTTTCTATTTCAATCAATTCTTTTTAAATTTATTGAATCGTTAATAAATTTATTTTAAGTAAAAAGTAATTTTCTGAAAGTTTTCATTATATCTGTTATAATTGCACAATTACGATTTGAAATTATCATTACAAAGTACAAATAAAGTTTAAAAAATAGTAAAAGCATGCCAACATGCTGAAATAAAATTTCTTTTATTCTAACTTTTGTATGCAAATACAATTTATAATAATCCCAAAAAACAGGACATTTGGATTTATCAGATATTCTCGTAAAATTCCTCTCAAAACTATGACTGACAAAACTTAAAAGATGAAAGCTTTGGAAACTAATTCACCAAAACATTTTTTAAAAAATTAGCGAATAAAAGTCACACATACCGAATAACTTCCAAAAGTTGTTCGGAAGATTTCTCCTTTTCTTCTATTGATGTATTTAAGATATCTGAGGATTCAGCTGATTTCTGAATATAAGCTACCTGTTTGGAAAGCTTTAAAAAAAAAAAAAAATAAATAAATAAAATAATTAGCTTAAGACGAATATTTTTTTTCATGTTGTTGGAAATAAACATATTAGCCATCATGAAGTATCTTTGTTCTTAGAAAAATTCTGTCCTTGGTTTTCTTACACTGGCAATGAACCAAATAGTAATTCTGACAATTCACAGATAATGATAAACTGAAAGATAAAGCAATGTTTGTCTGAGAGCATCTAACAATCTAATACAACTTCTCACAAAAATATCCAATATCAATTGGTTAGCCATACAGTAACCAAGATTTGAAACAGTTTCACTGAGATTACTGTATTGGTATAAGTCACAATAGAATTTTCATAGGTTTAAAATGAAAGACATTTCGATAAAAAAAAAAAGAAAAAAAGTTACCTGACCAAGCTGTTCATGGAGAATTGCATTCTGACGATTAAGGTCTGTACATCTGCTTTCAATTTGACCATTTTCATTTTTCATTATTCGTTCTTGTTCAGTCCAAGAATTCTATAAAATAGAAATAACTTTTAAAATCTCAAAGAATATAAAAAAGAAAAATCTGAGAACATTTATGAAATTCTGACAAAATATTTCTAGAAAGATCAGAAAATAATTTTAATACAAACAGAAATCTTCAGAATTTATGATTTCTTTTAAATCATAATCATTATTTCAGGCAATACAGCTGAAAACTGTATGGCATTTTACAGAATTTATTGGTTACTACTTATTTTTATCCTTCAGAATGATAAAAAAGAAATGAGTAAAAGGTTTTAAATTCATTCAAAGTTAAATATATATTTTCATAAATTTACAAATCATTTTTATTTAATAACTGTAGAAACATTAAACCAAAAATGTATATTACCTTAGCTTCTGTGAGAGTTGCTGTGGCTTGCTTAGCCTCTTCTTTAGCTGCTTCTAATTTCTGTGAGTGTTCAATGGCCTACAAAACAGATATTGAAAAAAAAAATAGTGTAGTCAAACCAAGTGAATTTAACTTTTATTAAAAAAGTACCAGAAACTAAATTTTAATCACGCTTTATATTTAATTAACTCCTATTAGAATTGAAACCAAATGCTTTTAATTTACAACAATTTTCAAAAGACTTACTTCCTTCTTCAATGTGGACATTGCTTCCATATCAGCAGCATGCAACATAAGCTCTCGTTGGTACTTATCCTGTGCCTGGAAAAAAAAAAATTCATATTAAAAAGGAGTAAAATCTCTGAAATGTTATTAACATGTTAAAAGAAAATTTAGTACGACTTTTTTTCCTTACCAATTGCCAATATTTTTTTAAAATTTTATGGCATGTAAATGACAAAATGAAACTAGAATTTCCTTAAACAAATGAAGTAAATAAGCTAGCAATAAGGCTTGAATGAAAGAAACTAAGAGGTTAGCATCTTTGAAAGTGCAAATCACCACAATTTTAGTAACTGTTCATGAACTTTGATATCACCTACCATGAAAATATAAAAATCAATAACTTCCATACACAAATTAGCATTAAATCTTAATGCCACAATTTAAATCTTCTATTCAAATCATCAACAGAAAAACATATCCAGCAATTCAATGATTCTATCCAAACAATTACAATCATACCTCAGCAGCCAGTTTAGCTTGAGTTTGGCAACTTTCCCGAGCAGCTTGCTCATTGGCAATGGCCGTTTTTCGACTTTGGATGGATTCATGAAGTTCATTCTGAAGATTAGACAACTGCTTCCGTAAATCTGTAATCTACAAAAAAATAAATGAGAAAATTTTTCATATAAATTCCTTGAAAACAAGAAAATGAAATTTTGATTAAATAACACTTTAAGTGTTTTTAACCATTGACATAAGTAAAACTAATAAATTCTAAGCTTTTAAATGCATAAAAGTGAGATACAGTATTTCTAATTAATATTTAATGTGACATGACAATATTTTTTCATGTCCCATTGAATATTCATTAAAATGTACTCTTTATTCCGTCTCCAAAAATTATTTTGTAAATTAACAGAAATTAAATAAAAATTACATTCTATTTTGTTTTTTATTTTTTATAAAAAAGTATTTTTATTGAAAAAAAAAAATATGGATTATTTTTATATATAAAAATATATATATATATATATATATATATATATATATATATATATAAAATGAGGGACCAAAAGAAAAACTTTTCTTTACCAATGTGTTTTGTCTCAAGATAAACGTAAGGATTTTATTTCGTAACATATTTATAAACAAAAGTAAAAATGTTAAGTTTCCATAATTTTTAACTTAAAAATGCACTAAAATATTCTTAAAGCGGTGTTGTAGTAAACTATGAAAGACACCAAGTGATCTAATTTAATACCTAATAAATGAAAGTGAGTAAATTGTGTTGAATTTTATTTTATTATATTTATTTTTCTTATGTAATTATTTTAATTTGATAAATTATTTATGTATGCATTTATTTTAGATAATAGAATGTCTACAGATAACAGTTATTATTATTTTGAATTTTGATATTCATGTATGTTGGCTTAGAAAAGAATATTTCTTTTAAGAAAATATATATGAAAAAAAAAAAAATTCAGAGCATAAGTTAACATTTTGGGAAGAATTGATGGCTGCATTCAAGAACTTTATTTTCTTTTCTAATAAGTACACCATTCTTGAGAACAGAGTTGTTGTTAAATATATATGTGAGATACTACTTACCATTTTATGTTTCTCCTCTGCTAATTTTGTATTATCTTCAGCTAATTCTTCTTTCTCCTTTTCTAATATTTCAATTTTCTTTGTCTTAGTTTCATTTTCTGCAAGACAATCAGGACATTCATTAAATACAAGTTAAACATGATTAAATGTTACAAAATACAAAAAAATAAAAAATGCATACCTTCTTTGAGATTTTCTAGTTTCTTCTCAGTGTTTTCACTGAAGTGTTGACTAGCCTAGAAAAAAATGAAATAGTTATCAAGCATTTATTACACAAATGCATCAAAATTTAACAAATTTTTATATTCACAGTTGCAAAAATCATTTATAATTGCAATTATTTTTTTAATATTTATCTCTAATATTTTCAAATTCAAATATAAATTTCTCCTCTCACTTCAATTGTGAAACTCTTTTGGCTTCCTGCTTCACAGGCAAATCTGATCTTCAAAAATACAGTGTAAATCATTATCTTCTGTCTTAATTTCTGTTCTTTTATTGTACTCTGCTTAATGTTTTTTGTTTCTTCATATTCATAGTAACCCCTTGCATCTTAGTGGCTTTATTGTTTTGCTTGGGGTGAAATGATTAAAAAAAAATAAAAACTAACTACTTCATTCAATCAACATAAACCAATATTACAAAAAAATGTTAATTTCATGAGTTATTAACAAAGATCACTGTTTAAATGTATACACAAAATATAAATTTTAATTTCTTGAAAATTTCAATGAAGTAACTAGCAAAACATCAACTGTCAACTTACTTTATTCTGATCCTTCAGGCTGTTTTCTAAGCTTTCAGAAATAGCCTTGTACTGATCAACATGTTTTCGGCTTTTTTCTAGTTGATCTTTTAAGCCTAGAAAACGCAAAATTTTGATAACTTGAGTGCATGTAACATTTCAGTATAAATTAAATATTAATTTCTCCCTTAATGGTTCAAAAATCAAATTTAAATTTGATAGAATGATTAACTTGTTTCTTTTATAGAAACCTAATAGAAATTATTTTTAAATTTAAAAAAAAAAAAAAAAAAAACAAAAACAACAAAAAACAAAAAAAAACAAACAAAAACAAAAAAAAAAAAAACAAAAAAAAAAAAAAAAAAAAAAAAAAAAAAAAAACAAAAAACAAAAAAAAAAAAAAAAAAAAAAAACAAAAAAAAAAAAAAAAAAAAAAAAAACAAAAAGAAAAAAAACAAAAAAAAGCTAAAAAAAAAAAAAAAAAAAGAAAAACAAAAAAGAAAAAACAAAAAGAAAAAACCGAAAAAAACTTTTAAAAAAAATTTAAAAAAAAGAAAAAAAAAAAAAGAAAAAAAAAAAAAAAACAAAAAACAAAAAAACAAAAAAGAAAAAAACAAAAAAGAAAAAAACAAAAAAGAAAAAAACAAAAAAGAAAAAAAGAAAAAAACAAAAGAAAAAAAAAAAAAAAAAAAAAAAAAATAAAAATCAAAAAACTGCAGTTTGTGCAAAAAAAAAAACAAAAGAAAAAAACAAAAAGAAAAAACAAAAAAAAAAAAAAAAGAAAAATTTAAAAAATGTTAATCAAATGACAAGATTTTTAGATTCATTTAACTTTAAAACTCACCCGTAAATAATTATCAACTGCAGTTTGTGCATAATCTTCAAATGACAATTAAAACTGCATCATTTAACATTTAACTGACATTTGAGATCTTTCACAGCCAATGATTCACCTTCATTTGGAGCATGTATAGTAGGTGTACCACTGCCCCGTGTATCCATGGTACCAACTGGAAATAAAATTGATAAAGTAAATTCAAATCAGTTACATTTAAGTTGCAATTAATGTTTTCAAAATAAACCTTTTCTCAGTTATAATAATAAAAAAAAAAAAAAAAAAATTGAAATATTCATGATTTATATAAGCTGTCTTCTGAGTAATTTGGAACAATGTGAAATTCAGAAATGCCAATGCTTAAGATTTTAAATTTCTTCTATGTGTCATGTCCTTTCAAGACGCTGATGATCATGGTTCTTTACAATTTCCTGTTCTTTGTAGCTCTTAATAAATTGTTTTTGTTATCTCTCCTCTAAAAATCTATAATAGTTTATGTCCTAAAGTAATTATAGTTTACAGTTTAAACAGAAATACCCACATTGCAAATGTAAAAGCAAGTATACAATAAGAGACAAATTACATACAAGACTTTGAAAGTTTGGTTTCAGCACAAGCCAGTTTAGATTGTGTTGCTGATAATTCTTGTTTCTGAGTGTTCAAATGTCGAGTTATATCAAGAATGGTGTCCTTAGATTTCTGGTGAGCTTTCATTTCTCCATCAAGCTGATTCTGTAAACTAGACATCTTGTTCTGTAACAAGTGAAATAAAAAAATTACAGTGATATTATTAAAGTCAAAAAAGTAAAATAAAATGAAAGGCACATATTCTAAATGTTAGCACAAGACAAGATTTTTAAAACTCTTCAAATTTACAAAGAATTTGCCAAATTTAATAATGAAAAAGATAGATATATATATATATATTTATTTATTTATTTAAGTTATGAAGAACTTGGTAATCCGTATGGGTAATCCCAAGAAGGATGAAATCCTGAGAGCTCAATGTAAATCCAGAGCTAATATTTAAAAGAAAAACAGACCACTTTAAGGTACCATTATAATAATTTATTTCACCAGAGCCCTTTTAAAGGACACTGGATCATCAAATAGCACTTCCTTGGAAAATGGTTTGATCTGGTGAAATAAATTATTATAATGGTACCTTAAAGTGGTCCGTTTTTTTATATATATATATATATATATATATATATATATATATATATATATATATATTGTTCCCAAAATAAAAATGGTTATATTAGCTGTTTCTTTATAAGGAAACATTTAGCACACATTGACCAAGCAACCAGTGATATAGTTAGTAGAAATTCATAAAATCTTTTTTATTATATCAATTTTTCAGGAAAATAACTTCAATTTCAGTTACTGCTATTGCTCTTTCCAGTATTTTTTTTTGTTTAACCACAACCAAGGCTATAATGCTAAGACACAAAGTATTACAGTGAGTAAAAGGAAATGAGAAAACACTACCGAGAAGAAAGGACAATAAAAGAACAGGTTTCAGGAAGACAGAATATGGCAATAATGTTACATCTAAATTCTTTAAGATCATAGGTAGTAGAGAAGCAATAAACTGGAAGAGAGTTCCTCAGATGAGATGTACATGAAAAGATTAGAAGAGAACTTATAGTTACATCTAGCAATTTCAACAGTAAAATGGTGAAATCTAGCTGCCAATTTTGTAATGTGCTTAAATCCATGCAGTCATGATACCAGGGATGAAATCTCATTAAAACCATTGCCAAGAAAATATTTATATAAAAGACAAGGAAGCCATGTCATGATAGTAGGAAAATGATTGAAGATGAGATACCAGGTCAAGGTCAATAACATTACAGACCAAATATGGCAACAATATTCAATGTACAGACAAATTCGTACATTTATAATGTGCAAGAAGGATTCTGGCAAGAAAAATTATCTGGCACAACACAGTGAACCAACTTTCGTAACAGCAGGCCTAGCAATTGTGCCATTCAGCTCCTATATGGCAGTGAATGCTTAAAACCAAAAAGTATTTAATAAAGTGCTTAATATTTAAGATTTAAAAAAAATATATAAAAACATTCAATATAAATTCTAAGGCGGCACAAAGAGTTGCTCTCCTGGAGATTAGCAACAGTCATGCTGATAGAAGGCAAAAATAGTTCCCTATCATGACTAAAAAATAGTTTCATTTTGGTGGCGTTAAAATTTACAAGCCATTTCTCGCCCTAGTTAACAACTTTTTGGTGGTCATTTTCAAGATCATCTACCAGTTTTACTTTATTAGACACCGTGAACTTACTATTAAGACAAATAATTAATTATGTCATCAGCATAAATACAGAGTTGGGAATTGATGACATCAGAAAAGTCATTGATAAAAATATGCAACAACGTAGAGCCAAAGATAGAGCCCTAGAGACCCCTGGATTAATGTGAAAGAATCTAGAAGAGTGACTTTCATTACGTGATATGTTAAGATTGGATCAAGTCAAATATTCAGCAAGACATTATAGCTCATCAATTTGTCAAACACCTTCAAAATATCTAAAGCTACAGCCAGAGACATTCAATAATAAGCATTAACACATTGGCAGTTAAACTAGAGAAACTATATTGTTTATCTAAAAGACCATGCAAAATGAGATGCTTAACAGATTTAAAAATTTGATTAAAGCTTCTATTACTTTGTCAATTTGTTTGAAGTAGTGTAGAAGGTCAACCTCTTGATTATGTCATTTTCTCAGAGTAACATATACTATCCATTTTAGTTGTTAAGTTTACAATTTGGTATATTTCATTCTCGAGATTTTGTAATGCAAGTCCACAAGGTTCAAAGAGGGATTTTGAAAAAAATAGGTTTGTGTAGAACAGAAAATTAAAGAAAAAATTAGGAAGAATATTGGAATTATTTGAGTTATTGTTCTCACCTCCAGTCTTTGGATGGTATTTTTATGTTCTGTCTCTGCATTTTCTAATTTTCTTTTAATGTTGATCAGCTCTTTTTCAGCAACTTCAACTTGGTGATTAAGCCGAGACTTTGTTTCATTTTCAACTCTTTCCATGTTATTCTAAACATAAAATAAAAGCATATAAAATACCAATGCATGTAAAAATCATTACAAATTTCAATAATGTACAAAAAAGAAAAAACTTTAGCACTACAATTTTGATTCATAACTAGATAATGTTATTAAGAGTAGCTATTGTTAAAATGGCATTTATATTGGGTCAGAGACATGGATTGCTTATGAATGTGTAGAAGAGGAATGTTATGATTCTTAAATATCTTTTTTTTTTAATTAAACCAACCCCCCAAAATATCAAATATATAAATTACTTAGTTCTTAGTATTAATAGTCCATCTTTCACACTTATTTTTTTTTTGTTATTTAATATGTTGTGAAAACATCTTCAATGATCTGTAAACTGAATGTTTATTCAAACTTATCCTTGTTTAAAGCATCTTTATTGATATTAGTTCACAATTTGAATGAAATTTACATATTATTGACATTCAAGTTCACAACATTCTTAGTAATTTTATCTTTATTTGCTTCATAAGTAACTTGTTACAAACTTTGCAAAAATATCTGGAACAGCTACAAACCCAAAGACATATTTATTAATTTTTTAATATGGTATATATTTCAATATTCAACTGAGTGATAGATAGGTACATCTGTAAATGTGTTTAACAATTTAAGAGAGCAAAAAAAGCATTTACTTTATAAAAATTAATTTTTTAACATCACTCCTCAATGGACATAAGTGGGTAAATATTAACCACATACCAGGCAGTAGACTTGTTGATGCACTTTTGTAAATGTCATTAAACTAAAACAATACTACGAACATTACATATGCATTTATAATTGTTTTCAAATGATTTAATTTAGAAAAAGCATTGCAAAATTAATTATAATTTTAAAAAAAAAAAAAAAAAAACTTTACACATAATTTCCATGATAAAAACAATTTTCAAAAATATATCAGTGTCAAAGTTTACCTGTATTGTTTGCAAATTAGACAACAGAACATTTTGGCTATGTTGCTCTTTGAGCATAGTTTCCTTTTCTTGTACAAGACGTTGTTCAGCTGCTTTTAATAAGTCCCGCTCAGATGAAAGATTTTGACAGCGGACTTCAAGTCGAGAGATATTTTCTTGAGCAGTAACTAAATCCTGGGAAAAATAAAAAAATTAAAATACAAAAATGGTTACAGTATTGTGCAAAATTATTAAAGAAATAGATTCAAATTATTCATATCCATTTCTTTCTTTATAATTACCAATATTTTGACTAATATTGCTTTATCATTGAAATAATCAGATATTACTTTAGAAGAGCTGAAGACTTGAAAAGTAAAAAAAAAAAAAAAAAAAGTTACAATAAATAATGAAATGGATAAAGTTAAAAAAATCACGCTCAAAACCATCTGACTTTTTCTTTAAATATATTATTTCTACTTGAAATCTCATTGATAGAAATGTTAAATTGAATAAAATTTGAATCCAAATTAACATTTATAAAAATTATTTGGTGTCTGAATGTTGCTTAAAGTGTTTTGTTTATTTTAAACAGAATTTGTTTAAAATAGTAGAAAAACTGCTAATACTTATTTCAGTTTTAAACCAATTAAAACTTCATGTTTAAATGTCTTCTATTATAATCTTTTTATCTTATAAATAATATAAAGTTTAATCAAATTCTTCCTTTTATGTTAATACATCTTTCAGAAAAAATAATTCTTTTTAACTGGAAAATTCATAAAGACTAATATTTAAATTATTTATGTACATTATTAGCTAATAAAAGAAAGAAAAATGACAAGTTTTCAACATCAGCAGCTGTAACAAGCAACACTCATCACCAGGCAAGTTAGGTTTAAGGCTCCACAGGTGAATGGCCGAGTGGACAGTGGATTAAATCATTAAAGCATTTGTTCGTGTATTTGGTAACACAGCAATTGTAAGAGTCAGAGAGTGTGTACTTGGACTCAGTGGAAACTGGGTGAACAATAACTGAACAGCACTAAAGAACTAGATGAGATATCCCTAGACATGTGCAGTCAAACAAGAACCACCTACCTTTGTAGATTAAGGGGTTCTGTTCAAAATTCCCTATGTTATCTAGACTGACACACCTGATGAAGGCCAAAGAGCATAATGTCTGAAACATTGTGATAACAACTACAAAGATGAGGACAATAGTCTGCATCTTATTATAAAACGCAGATTGTGTGTGTGTGTGTGTGTGTGTAACGTTTATATATTGGATCAGATTTCCTACATTTTTCAACCGATTTCAACAAAACTTCACAGGACTACATAAAATTACCTTGTGGTGGTTCTAACAGTGCCAAAAATACAATTGTTTTTGCACAAAATCAATTGAAAAAACACGATTAAGAGACATCGTGAAAATGGAAGGGGACAACTCACATCGGGTTGTTTTGTGTGTGGGTTCCTTTAAATATGGGATCGGATTTCCTATATTTTTCAGCCGATAAAACAAAAATTCACTTTTTTTTTTTTGGAAGGTAGTGTTTCTTATTCTCTTGCACACTTCTTTATTTTTAATATTCAGAATGCTTTAAAAATTCCATTTACAAGACAATTATTTATAATAAAATTCTATTCAATCGGGAGACTCATAACGATTGAAAACAATGTTTTTGTTTGAGTTTGACCAATTCGTAAAAAAAAAAAAACAAAAAAAACAAAAAAAAAAAAAAAAAAAAAAAGACATGCGTGTCCGTCAACCTTAAACAATAATCTAACGATCTCTACTGATTGCAGGAATACAAACATCGGATAATTCTTTGTCTTTAGGGAAAGATAATGAAATCTAAACATACACAAGTCCTAACTAAAAATAATAACCGGAAACTACTTTAAATACACATGGTGTCCAATTTTTTTCACTGTATTCAATAAGTAAAAATCATAAATTGAAAAAGATTATTATTACAGAAAGGCTACTAAATGAATAAGATTTGTTAGATCATAATTAATAAACCCAAATAAAGTTAATATTTTTTGTATTAGAAACACTTGAGTGGAAAATATGTTCAAATCAGAATTCTAATTATGAATCACCACAAGCAAAATATGCAATTTTTTTACTGTATTTAATAAGTAAAAAATCATAAATTTTAAAACTAAAAAGATTACAGAAAGGCTACCTACATTTTTCAACCGATTTCAACAAAACTTCACTTTTTTTTTTTTTGGCAGGTAGTGTTTCTTATTGTCTTGCACACTTTTCTTTATTTTTATTCAGAATGCTTTAAAAATTCCATTTACAAGACAATTGTTTATAATAAAATTCTATTCAATCGGTAGAGACTCATAACGATTGAAAACAATGTTTTGTTTGAGTTTGACCAATTCAAAAAAAAAAAAAAAAAAAAACTAATTAAGACATGCATTTCCGTCAACCTTAAACAATAATCTTTGTCAATTTTATTTTTCAGTCTTTATGATGGTGGATACTTGATCTATCACTTACTGTTATATCCACGGGCAACGCCGGGCTCTACTGCTAGTGTAAATATAAAAGATCATTCATTTAATTTCTCCAGCTTGCAAATGAGATTTTTAATTACATATATAAAAGAGATGCTACAGAGTTCACAAAAAAAAAAAAAAAAAAAAAAAAATTATCTATTTGGTCATTTGGTCAAATTATAAAACAGAAAAAATAAATGACCTACCGAGTGCAATGTGCTAACATTCTGCTCTAATCTGACACTTTGCAGAGAATATTTCTTATTTTGTTCCTTTAACGTGTTGATCTCTTTCTTGTAACAGTCAGCATTATTTTGCAGAACCTTATAACGCTCAGATGCAAAATCCAGCTTCAAGGAGAATAAAAAAAAAGTCATGATATTAATTTCAAGAATTTAAATTTAAACAAATTATCAATTTATAAATAAAAATCATTTAAAATATCTCACTTAGGCAAATGTAATATTAATTAGCAGATAAAAAGAAAGCACTATATCAAAAAGTAAAAATTTAAAAACACATGAAAGATAAATGCAATGTAAATATCTACAATTTTCATTTAAAAGCACCAATTTTGAGTGTAATTTTAAGAAAATATTTCATTAACAAAATACATACCAATTCAAAATTAATTTTACAGAAAAAAAAAAAAAAAAAAAAAAAAAATTCTCAGAAAATTTTAATATTTGTTGTGAGCAAAAACTCTCAAAACATTTATTACAAAGCAAATAATGTTTAAATTATGCAAATGCTTACAAGCAAAATAAATATGAATTACATGAAATTTCATATTTATAAATATAAATAAAATTAATTGAAAAATCATTATTCGCTATGTAATGTATCCCTGCATATTTGGTTCACCTTACTGCATCAGGAAGTATAGAAATTAAAGTGAAATATTTAACAAAAATTATAGCCAACCAAATGTTAACATCAGAATAAAAAAATAAAAAACTGTCAAACAATTTTAAATAAATTACCTGTGAAGACAATTGAGTGTTTTGCACTCTGATGTCAGATATCTCGGACCGTAATTTCTCCAATTGTGCATTTAGCATTCTGCATATGAAAAAAGGAAAAAATACAATCATTAAACTGTAATACTAAAAAATAAATGAGATAATTACACCAAAGAAATCATAATTACTTTTCATATTCTCCTTTTTCGCGTTTATAAGTGTTATATTCTGTTTGTAGTTCTTGTAAAGCCATCTTTGTATCTTCCAACTCCTTGCCTTTGTTTGGACTAATAGGGCTGATTGGTGTGACTGGGAAAGGTCTTTGGGGTGTCTGCAAAAGAGCTCCTCTTCCTCTGGGGTTATAATGACCTCGACCACCACGACCACGGAATGGTGTGGAGATTTCTACATTGGCTACTTGCTAATAAACAAAACAGAAAATAAGTTTTTCCACATGAACTTGAAAATAATTATTGACGCCATCTCATTTAATGAGCTATCAATTTTAATTTTTTTAGGATATTTTAAAATTATGTGATTATAATACATTTACAAATACCCAAAATAAAATAGTCATTAAAATAGACATTTTATGCAAGTGAGAGAAAAAAAAAAAAAAATAGAAAAGTTTGACTAATATAAATATCAAATATACTAAAATCCAATAAGTGCTATTCTAAATTATATTTAAATGCCTAAAAATTCAAAACTTTTACACAAAAAAAAATCTTAAGATTTTTATACAACATACTAGCATTTACAATATTTTCTTACATATACATAGCACATATTTATATAATATAAAGATGAAAATATATTAAAAGCTTACTTGTGAAGATTGCTGAAATAATACTCTATACATATCTCTCTGGCGAATAATGGACTCAGCCTGTAATTAAAAAAAAAAAAAAAAAAAATTTTTAAACCCTTGAGAACATAAATTTCTCGTGCTTATTCAGAAATAAATTAAGAATTATAATCTGAGAGCTTATTTTCATAAAGATTGAACAGAGGAAACTAACAGGGATATCAGCTTGTCATCACACTATAGGTAGGCAAATATTTTGTAAGGAGGTAAGGCAAATATTTTGGCCCTACCTATTTTCTGAATTCTGGCCAAATGACTGAAATTTTTTTTTAAATTCCTACTTGGTTGGACCAAGAACTTCTCAGTGCCCCTTTCATATGTCTATACATTGCAATATTTGTTTTCTACTTTCTCCTCTTCAGAAACAGGTAATTGGTATACAAAATAGATAATATTTATTTGTTCAAAGCACAAGCAAACTTTTTGATATAAATTGTTTCTGGTATAAATATTTGCAAATCAAATTTGTAAAGTATTTTTCAGAGTTGGATCTGAAAACAACTGCAGTTTTATCAAAGTAATCTCGTGTTACTTCATCAAAATTGATACAATTAGGACAGAATTAGAAATTTCAGAATAAAACTATAAATTGGAGATTACAAAACATTTTGTTAATGTATATGGTAACATATGGCTCTTGATTACTGTCAGTTTCAAATTTTTACAGATGTATTAGTAAAATAATATTAGCAAAAAATTGATTTTAAAACGATAAAATATTACCAGTTCTTCTTGTCGTGCTCTTGAAGCCTTCAGATCTTTCAACTCTTCCAAAGCATTTTCAAGACTCTGCTTCAATTCCAATGTTCTGATAAAAAAAAAAAAAAATCAACCAAGCATGCAAAATATAATGAATGTTTTGTTTGTAACTTATACTTCAAAACTTACTCAAATATGAAAACATTTTTAAATTATAATTACATCACATTTATGTAATGCATGATACCAGGAATCATTTATGTTAAAGAATAATACTTAGAAATAAGACAGAAGCAAAACAAAAAATTAAAACTTTTTTTTGTGAAAACATAATGAAAGCATGAAGTAAAATGTTCTGCATCATTACGTGTTCAGAGCTGATTTTCCTTAGACCTTCATTCATTCAATGAACAAAAAATGCTGACAATATTGTAAGAAAATTTTAATAATTCTTTTATGAATTAGCAATTTATTTTTGCCTACAGCTCTGTAGCATGTAGGACTAAGATAAAAACAATGTTTAAATGTAGAATATACATAACATGTTCAAATATTTTGTTTCCTAAAAACCTGTAATTATCATTCCCAAAATTTTTTCTGTGTACTAACTACTAAACCTATTACTACATAACATTATTTAGCTTAGCACTTTCTAATATATTTTCAAATTTATTGTAAAGTTTGCTAAAATTATTTATATCTCCTAGAAACAAAATAAAAAAAAAAAAAAAAAAAAAAAAAAAATCAAGGAGGAATATATTTTTACCACGTTGGTGCACTTTTACTTTTTTGTTTTAACAAAAATAAGAATTTTTTTTTTTCCTTTTAGAAATTATTAATTTTTTTTTTTAGTTGTGTGAAATTTATTTCAGACAGTAAAACTTTAATTTTTTTTTTTAGATAGATTGAAGACCCTTTATTATTTATTTATTAAGTTGCTGTATTCTAATAAACATCTGTAAGCAAATTTAAAATTTGTATTTATATTTTTATTCACTGTTCTGCAGGATTAGGTACTCCTTGTAAAATATAAATTATATATAAATATATGCACAAACTAAACCACAATATATAGGATGATGCCTTTTTGCATATGGTATATATACACATTAGAAAACTAAATGCATTTTTCCACTAACAGAGAAAACTTTAAATTTTAACTGATGTTTATTAATTTCAAACTTCAATTATGGCAAGTGTATCAATGCCAAGCAGAAAAGTGTAGTTTGGAAGTTTTTTTTAAGATTTCACATGAGAACCAAAGGAAAGCAATATGTCAACTGTAGCTAACTTAAGTGATTTATGTAAAGAAATTGTTCTCTTTATTGTTTAAACACTTATCATTTTTATTTAAAAAATTGGGTATCTAACTTTATTTCAAAAGCTTTTGTATTCTACTAAATGTTTTATTAATAAATGTAATTTGTTCATTAAGTTTCCCAAACCAACTGTAGGTTATGAAATTAATGAATTTTAATCATAGTTATCGGAATCAGATTCGGGAATCATATCGGAATTGGCAAAAATATTGGCATTGTCCCATCACTACATTTGATATAATTGAACTCACATTCCTTCTCCCTGGAAACCTGTCTGACTAGGACAGTGCTTTACTGATTAGATGAAAATAATCCAAATAGCTACATTATTCCTTCCCCAATTTTACTTATCTATATTGCTTGTTTACACCTAGTAGCAGATGTTATTACGAGCTTAGATTGTCTAAATTTGTTACATGAAGCATTATCATTAATTTTTTATTAATTTTTTTTGTTACAATTTTAAAAAGAAAATTTCTATGGAACTATTAAAAATGTTTAAATTTTTTTATCATTTCTAAATTACAAATTATACTAATCTAACACTGTGCCATATGTCCTCAAGGACACATGGCACAGTGAATAAAGGTGTTGGTTAGATCCAGTGACAGGACCCAGAGAGTGAGAGTTCAATACCTGGTTAAGGCAGTGGAAAACTTTCAGAGGGAAATTAACAGGAAATAACTGACATCCATTAAAACATGGCACATGGAACTAGAACAGTCTACCCCAGTGAGCGAAATAAAGAGTTAAGTTCGACATTCCAACCACCTGAAGAAGGCCAGAGCATACAACGGCTGAAACATAATAAATATGGCGACAAAGATGAGGACAATAGTCCGAATAATGTAAATAAGAATCTATATCTAACAATTATAATTTTAAAATGTTTGTCAAATATCCTAAAATTTAACTTCTGCAATGACCGCAGTTTTATTTATAGCTAGCAATACTGAAAATTAAAATGACTTCAGCAGATTTTCAACTGACTTTGAATTGGAGTTGGTCTTCTTAAAATGAATTATGAGACAATTGAAATTATTCACAAAGGGGGAGGAAAAAAAAAAAAAAAAACACATTTTAAACATCTTAATCTATCTTACTTAGCATCAGTGACTTCTTGTTCTTCTTCCTCCCGTTTGTCACTGAGTTCACGTACAACTTCTAACAAACGTTGGTTTTGTTCCTGCAGCTCTTGGACATTTCTGGAATGCAAAAAAAAAAAAAAAAAAAATGAAAAGTTAGAGTAAAAATATGAAAAACTTCAACATACACAACTTAAGTAATTTTTTTTTTTTAAATAATTGTTCACTATTATCTTTTACATGAAAATACATTGGCAAATATTTTGCATTTAGTTACTGGACTTTACAATTCAAAAGATCGCCATGGGGCCCTGGAGAACATGTACTGATATTAACGGACACAATTCTCTAATTTAAAAAACGGAATCCTTGACTGAATCATTTTGTGAAAAGAAATTCTGAAATGGTTGAAATAATTCTGGGATTTAAGAATGAAGAAGCATATCATGAAATTTAAAGTCTTATTGCAATCCTCCTGGAAGAATTATTGAGGAGAAAATAATACACTGAATCTTATGCTTATCCTCAGAAATTTAAGGAGAAGAGTGTGAGCTGCAGTCTGAGCACACGCAAGAGAAATTTACTGACCCATCTTGAGATAAGTTACAGATTTCTGTGAGTGGTAAGTATCTTATAAATGTGTTTCTTATGTGTGAATAGGCTTTTCTTTAACAATGAAATCCATTTATCTAAAGGTCAAGCTTAAATTGAGCATTTGGCTATCAAAAAGCAACCACGGGTTTCTCATTAGAGGAACAAATTTCATTATCTAAATTGACAAATAACTTTGCCATAACTCATCTTAAGCCTCTTAAACATTGTCAATAAAAAAATAAATAAAACCTTACTGTCAAAATAATATGTTTTTGATCTGTTAATAAGTGTTAAATAGATTTTTTTCTTTTTTTAAAACTTGTGCAAATGAATAACCCATGAACAAATAGTTATATATATTGTTCTTTCATGTGCTGCATCTGTTCAGGACATAGAAAGTTATAGAAAGCCATGGTTGCCTATCTCATGGCTCTTAGCAGTTTTTCTCCCTTCTCTAAGGCCTCCACCACACTCCATCATCCATTCACACAAGCTTGTCACATAAGTGAATTGCTGCCTTTCCCTAAATATGCCCAGTGAGGATTAATTTCTGCAAGCCCTCCTTCCTCATTGTGTCCAAAGAATTTCAGTTGTCTTTATTTGACTTTGTTTTTAAGTGTTCTTTCTGTTGCCATTTTCTTAAGACTTCCTTGTTGCTTACTCACTCTATCCATGGAATTTTCAGTTTCCTCCTGTAGAACCACATTTCTGCAGTCTAGTTTTTTTCTTCACCCATGGAGAAATTTGCCAAAATTCACTGCTATCCCACAGAAACAAAGAAAGTACTGGATTGCAAACAAAATTTGTCCGTTTCTCAGCACATTGCTTAGGTTTTGGAATGCTTCTTTCAGACATTGTAAGAAATAAAATTAAACATGGTCAATAAACCAGAGAAAAACTTTAAAACTATTTCAACATATCAAAAAAAAAAAAAAAAAAAAAAAAAATTCTTTGTTTTATGAAATTTAACTTTCTTAACTCCTCCTCTTTCATGAAGAAACAGAATTTTTTATGTAGGGATTTTCCCAAGACCTTACATTTATACATTATCTACAAGTTTAAGAAAAAAAATGCTTACTTGAATGTGACTAATCTATTTGTGATTAGCTGAGAAGAACTTGTAACTTCAGTTGAAGAAACTTCTGCCTCATCAGCAACTATGTGACCCCCACGTAGTTCTTCAACTTCACGAAGCAGATATTGAACCTGTAAAATCATGGAAATTAGCATTTAATAGATTATATTAATTTAATAACACAAATCTCCAAATGTATCAAGAAAAGCATATTAGATAACTCTACAGCCCTTTCTTTTATTTTTAAAACATATTATATTAATTTAAATGGCTTTTCTAAAGTTTTAATTACAAGAAATAGCACAAAGTGAATAAAAAAAAAAAAATTTAAACATTTGCTCATTTGAGTTTTAAGTTTGTGTTGTCCAAAATTACTTAAATTATGCAATAACTGATGAAGGCTAGCTTAAATTTACAAGTGTCTCATTGGACAGTTGAATATGGGTGACACAAATATTTAAAAACTTTTTCATATACTAAAAAGCGCCAAAGATAAGTAATTCTATTCCATTTTAATGAGTTTCTATGCATACAAATTATATAATGTGCATATCTAAAAAATTTCTTTTATAACTTTAAAACTTTTTTCTTTTTCTACTAAACAATCAGTGATTGATTGGATTTTGTTAAATTCCATTTTATGAATATTAAAACAGTTATTCCTCAATAACAAAGTTACAAAAGTATCCATAGAAAAAAAAAAAAAAAAAAAAAATTGTTACATTCTGATTTACAAATTCAAAACATTCTCTGTATCTTCAGTTGAAGTTTCAAAAATTTCAACTGATTAAATTTTTAAACGAATTTATACAAATGTTAATATTTTTGAACGAATTTATACAAATGTTAATATTTTTGAACGAATTTATACAAATGTTAATATTTTTGAACGAATTTATACAAATGTTAATATTTTTGAACGAATTTATACAAATGTTAATATTTTGAACGAATTTTACAAATGTTAATATTTTTTGAACGAATTTATACAAATGTTAATATTTTTTGAACGAATTTATACAAATGTTAATATTTTTGAACGAATTTATACAAATGTTAATATTTTTGAACTCTAATTTATACAAATGTTAATATTTTTGAACGAATTTATACAAATGTTAATATTTTTGAACGAATTTATACAAATGTTAATATTTTTGAACGAATTTATACAAATGTTAATATTTTTGAACGAATTTATACAAATGTTAATATTTTTGAACGAATTTATACAAATGTTAATATTTTTGAACGAATTTATACAAATGTTAATATTTTTGAACGAATTTATACAAATGTTAATATTTTTATAGTTCAAAAATTATATTGAGATTCCATAAATTAAAGAGTTTGATCTCATAAAATACCCTTTTCATAAATAAATTCCACATGAAAAATTAATATGTAACAAAAATTTAATTGAAATGATTTATTGCTTTTTAAAATCTCTTTAAATACATCAACATTTTCATAGTTATCTTTTTCTCTTACTTCAACATTACATCTCAATGTGATTTATCCCTTTATGCATTTATTTATAATTTAATAGAAAACAAAAGTTTGATAATTACTTATCATTGACTTTTACTCAAGTGATATTATACAGCATGGACATTTTATAGTTTTAATTGTTCAATACATGTATAACCATATTAACACAATTGCCAATAAGAGAATGTAAACTATAACCTAGTTGTTCCCTCTGATCAGTTTGAGCTACACATAGACAACACAATCATTGATACAATAGATAAATGCTGTGAAAATCAAACTAATAAATTATTTTGGCAAAGCTTAGATCTTATCGCAAACAACTTTGAAAGATTTACAGTAATATCTGTGATCCTAATTCAAACCAGAAATATTATTTGCCTAAAGTGATATTCTGCAAACTACTAAAAACAGAGCATAAGCAAGTCATCAGAACTAAATGTCAAATTACTTTATATAAACTGAGAAAGATAACATGTACCTGTTGACCCAAATCAACACTCTGTTGAGTGAATTTTTTGTTCTCTTTTTGAACATACGTCAATCTTCTTCGGGATTCATCAGCCTCTGATCGGAGCTTTTGACCTTCCTGATTATAAATGAAACAAAATTTACAAACTATGCACATTAAGTGGTTATATTAAAAATATAAAACTGGAACATTTTATACATAAAAAAAAATATATTGATCAATAATCTATTCAATTTTATTTAACTAACTTTAGTATTAACAAATCAAAATCTTGTACCTTAGATAAAAAGAAAGGGGGGGGGGAATAAGTATAAGAGCTTGAGAATTATCCCTAATGTCTAAAATGTTATATCAAAAATAAAATCTTTTTAAATAAACATTACATGATAAAACCTAAAAGGTTATTAGACTTTCATTTGAATCAACAAGTAAGACAGCTTTAATGAGAAAGATTATCAGAAGAGTACTAACAAAAGTAAGAACTTTTACCAAAGTTATTAAATTTATCAACTATACTGACATCTAGTCATGAGATAGCACCTGCTACAAACATCCTATCAATAGCTTTAGCTTTGAATTTCTTACCTATTACAATTGCTACCTACTGCAGAGAGCAGCTAAGGTTACAGTCTTAATGTAAATATTCCAGAGTCTACTCAACTATGAATTATTGTTTACTTGGCAACTCTGGCCCTAGAATGAAGATTATCCAATTCATATATTGATGCCTAGGTTGTCTAAATATCATGAGATAATATTCACTGAAAGATTAAACAACTCTCATCAATAACTATATGTTGACCATGAAGTGAATGGCACTACATCAACACCCAGATTGCTTAATATGGTACCCTATAGTTATTTTTCAATGATTTGTTCAATAAATACTAAAAATCAAATCACCTGATGTGACATTTGTCAAAGTCAAAAAAAAAAAAAAAAAAAAAAAAATATATATATATATATATATATATATATATATATATATATATTAATATTTCAGATTTAAAACATTCTTACTCCCAATAATTAGATTTAAAAAACTACTTCAGAAACACTTATTCACTGAAATAACTAAAGAGTTGCCAGATTTTGGGAAGTAAAATTACTATTATTCTTTTACATATCCTAATTTCTATATCTGTTACCTGAAATAAATAAAAAAGCACACACAATTTGAATGCAGGACATAATCAATATATCAGAATATCCAAGATCATACCTCCATAGCAGTATCTAATTTTTGGGTAAGCTGTGTGATGGTGTGCAAAGCATGTTCATAGTCTTCTCTTTGCTGTCGTAATATTGGAGCCTTTTCTTCAATTTCCTGCATGATTTGATCCAAGTAGCCATTGATACGCTTGTTCTCTTCTTTTTCTAAATGCAGTTCATCAACAGCTTGGACATATTCATTATAAATCTGAATGAGAAAATATTGTACACATATACAAAATAGTGCTTTATCAAATGCTTATAAAATTTTATTTTCAGATTAAAATGTTAAAATGTATATACAAACAGAAAAATAGCATATTACTGAAAATGTTGAGTTCATAAATAGATATATTGTTTCAACATCTTTTCAATATAATGAATACTGTGCAGACAATCCAGCTTCTGTTAACTAGAAAAAAAAAAAACAAGGTATATAACATTGCTGCATAAATATAAACATCTGTATACCACATTATTAACATCTAAACATGATAAAATGGTTAAGGCTTTGTAACTGCCCAAGAACCAATATACTTATTATAGGTATGGAATAGCAAAATATCTTAGAATTCTGCTTGTCACTCCTTTAGCACTACCATTACACCCTGCTGAAACCCGATAAATAATGGTCTATTCTGTTTTAATTACATGGAAATGTTATATCATAGACACTTCTTGATTTCAATGAGAAAATGAAAGAAGATTAAAGAGTTTAATATCTGTTTCAATAAAATTCGAAAAGTTGTCAATTTCAGATTATTTTTTTTTATTTGTACTTGTTAAAATATCAACCAGCGTTCATATAATTGTTATTGCAATATTTTATTAAAGTTGTTAAGATTAGGTAAAAGAAAAGTCTAGAAGACCACATACAATTTCTAACTGAAATTCTAGAGTTTAATCATAGTTTCAATCAGATTTCATGTTCACATTCCAGTTTGATATTTAATAAAATACTTCTAACTGGGTTTCATGGATTAACAGCAATAACAAATCTACTTACTTGGGTAAGAGTCATTCCAGATTTAAGTAATTTGCTTGTAGCAGCAGCAGTAGGAGAAAGTGCAGCAATGCTCTCATCAGTCATTCCTCGAGCTCCAAAAAAAAAAAAAAAAATAAATAAATAAATAAAAAAAATAATTTTACCCATTAAAATTATAGAAAAGAAAGGTAAATCAATCTAAAATAAAAAACTATTGAGAAAATACTCACTTTTTGACGATTTAGATAAAAGATCATTGGCATTACTTAGTTCCTTTTCCATACTTTGAATCTTTTTATCTGAAATTATCAAATGGCAGAAAATATGGATTCATTTACTGAAATTTTTCTCAAATGCCAACAGACTGCAAACTACTCAAAAGAACTATAAAAATACTTAGAAATGTTAATACAGGACTTTCTATTTGTTGTTTTTTTTACACTACACCTTTTAGGGTTACAAGTCAATATTTCATGTGAACTAATCAATGTAAGCTGTCAATGTCCAACTTTTAAAATATACAAACCAAATTAGTAAACATTTCATAAAACTTATCTTTAACCATTAATAATTTTTGACTATTTCTTCATTTTAATTGCTTTTCATCAAAACCAATTGAGGCCAGTCTACAGCCAGTAGGATACAGCACAAAAAAGGAAAAGGAAAAAAAAAAAAATCTCACCAAGAGCAAATTCTTTATTTTGAATCAGTAGATCAACAGTAATTGTAATGATAACCAACTAAGACTAAGAGAAAAGTAATCGTAGTAAAAAGTTCACAATGGCTGACACTGCTATATCTACTAGAAATTGAAGATATTGCTTTTATTTTTTCACGAGGAAGGCTTAACAGGTATAATTTGTCTATACTTAAGTATACATCATTAAAAATTGTAAGCAGAAAAAAAAAAAAATTCATTTTTTATACATGACATTTGGATACTACTTCAGAGGATGAAAAATCAATGTATTCAGACATTAAATTTAAATAAAGTGGCAGTTTTAATGGACATATTCAAAAATTTTCTTTCAAACAATACAAAGACGAAGGAAAACAGTGTTTTAAGATATCCACTGCCTTGCAGCTATACCCATGCATGTGAAAGGGTTCAGGCATCAACCCCAAGGGAAAATCCACAGTTAAAGTCTCTCAGGCAGCTCCTATGATGGCACCGAAACAATTTCAGCGACATCAAGCTGGGTGATCTACTGCACAGCTAACAGCCTACCTTCCATATCTCCCTACCCAGGCCTTATGCACAGAAAAATGGGAAGCAACACTCTAGACACTGTGCTTTTATGGATATACTCAAAATATGTTTCACAGGCCAAGACACAAAATATTCAGTCATTTCCTGCCATACATAGTTCACTACACCCTCCATCCCCTACCCAAAGAACTAGGATGCCATCATTGTCCCACATTCCTACCACCAGACAATATGCATATAGGTATTTGTGTATATATACACACACACACACACACACACACACACACACACACACACACACACACAAGGCAGACAGGGCTCAAACCCAGGAAGGTAAGCTAGTCTAAATGAAGCAAAATACCATTTTAAAATCTCTACTGCCTTGCAGCTATACCCACTAAAACGGAAAGGCTTCTGGGGTCAACCCAAAGGAAAAATCCAGAGTCAAAGCTTCTAAGGTAGTTCACGGCTGCATTCAGCAACATTCTCACAGCTCTTATGATGACTGAAATTATTTCAGTATTTGCCTTTCCACTGGACTATTTCAACAATACGGAGTTGGGTAATCTACTGCAATGGCAACAGCCTGCCCTACATATCCCAGGCTTTGAGCACAACTTTGTAGTGTCTCCGAGACTGATAGATGCCTAATCATAAAATCTGACATACCTTTTGTTTCCAGCTGGTCCATAAACCTTTTTTTCTCAGCATCTTTAGATTTTTCCTGTTGTGTCTGAGCTGTAAAGCAAAAAAAAAAAAATTCAAAATCATATTTGTTTAAACAGATTCTTTATTGGCTCACAATACAAGTAAATGCTACATGAACTTCACAGGTTACAATGACCAATATTTGTAATTACTAAATACAAAATAAGCAATGGGAAATTAATCAGGAAAAAAGTAAATATAGTTTCAAGTGATGCCATAAACAAAAGTATCTTACTGAAATGCTTGCATTTTATATATATATATATATATATATATATATATATATATATATATATAGAGAGAGAGAGAGAGAGAGAGAGAGCAGCAACAGGTTAAAAAAAGTCATGATAAATGTATCAATTAAAAAACTATGAATATATTGACAATTTACCTTCAGAAGTTTCTTTATATAGCTTCTGCAATTCAGAGACTGCTCGTGTTAATTCTTTCACTTTTTCTTCAGACTCTTCGGACAAACCCTAGAATTGAAAATTAAATTCACTGTACCACTAAACATTTAGTCAAATATATTATATATTTTAATTATTTTTTATGGTCTAAATAATTTTTCATTGGTTTTTTTTTTCTCAATTCTGATATTGATACTGAATGTATAAGAAGCCATACACATTTAGATTTGAATCCTAACAAAACTAATACATGGTTGATAAACACCTAAATAAACAATTGTCATCAAATAAATCAATACTGAAAGTACCAAAAGGTATCACTGTTAAAGTGTGGTGCTCAATAAAAATTATGACTTGGGTCTTACCTTATAAAGAGTTACCAGTTTAGTTTGGGCTTGTAATTCTTGTTGAAATTGGAAGTCCATTTTAATCTGATCATCACGAGCCTAAAATGAGATGAAAATAAAAAGTTGTGCAAGTTTAAATTAAGATACTCAATCCATTGTGTGTTCTTCATTTACATATAAAAGGAAAAATAGACTTTGAACAAGATTCAATTCTGGTATAATAACGAGAAAAGGTAGAATATTATTTAATTATATAAATAATTATTATACATAGTGAATAAACTAACATTTTTTGATGGTGCCAATTATCTTTTTTTTTAATATAAAAAGGTATCAAAATTTGAAAACTATAGTTAGTCAAATGTAAACTTACTAAAAATATAATTAACATGGATAAAACTTAACATTCATTATCTATTCAACATAAAATTTGGAATTTTGATTTTAGATGTATAGAATTTATAGAAACTAAAAAAAAATTTCTTCAGATTTAATAAGCATAAAAAATATCAATTGATATAAAGTGGTGAATATAAAATAGGTGAAATGAAAACTTTTCAGTGAAATAGTGTTCACTTACATCTTTAAGCTTCTTATTGAAATTTTCAATTTTATTTATCTGCTCATTGTTGACTTTCTTAAGAGATTCGATGTTCTCTTTACAAAGTTTGACCTAAATAACAAAAGAAAATAAAAAGATTTTATTGCAAAAACTTATTTTAAATAAAATTTTTAAAAACTGTAAAAACTTTCAAAATTGCTTTAACTTTTAAAGTCTTTACAAAAATGTAATTTATACACAAAAATACAAGAAATAACTAATAACTTAAGGGACACCATTTGTTTTGGGGCATGGAGACATCATATTCATGTTTTTCATTAACAGAAATTTCAGTGTATAAGTCTTTTTTATTTTGTGTAAAAAGAAATTTCTTACAAAAACATTTTTTGTTGTTATATTTGAAATTATTTTTCCCATCTGGACAATGATGGATATGTGAATATATCAAACTTAAACTGATATAAATGTGCTATGGTAAAGCTTTAAAAATAATCATGTAATTCATATTTATTCAATATATTAAAATCCAAAAATGGGATGTTTAAAATAGTATTGTTGAAAATTTCTTCTCACCTCTTCTGTTTTTGCATCTAATTCAGATTGAACCTGCAATAATTGGGATGTCTGAAAAATGGAAAATTATAAAAAGTTAAAAATATTAAAAATACAAAGCAGTAGTCTCTTTTAATTGCATTTAAACAGGCTAACAATACTTTGAAAGAACCACTACTTTACAATGAAGGAAGTTGTAAATAAATGAAAAGGAATGGATTCTATTTCCAACTGGAAGATCTATTTTAGTTTTGCTAATACACATTCATGTTATTATCAGGTTCATTTCCTTAGGAACAATTTTACTTCATTCATTCTTTAAAGTTTTTAATCATTTATACCAAACCAGTTATCATTTTATTGTCCCCAATTATTACATTAAAAAGACTTCAGTTGACATTTCCTTGCATGAAATGATCAATCCACAAATCAAGTGAATCAATTAGTTTTTTAAATACCTTATCTTTCAAAATATTCTGCTGATCCCTAATCTTCTTTTCTAACTCGCCATTGAGGTACTCAACTTGCTTCTGTAGTTGCTCAATTTCTTGTGTAAATCTTTCCTTTTGGTACTGTTGAAGAAATTTTTAAATATTACAATATATCGATCTTTAAATGGAAATATAAAAGAAAACAAGGATTTTTTCATTTACATTAGAAATTAAAGAAAAATTAACAAAAATATTGCATTTCAAAAATCATTTAAAAAAAATAAATAAATTTTCAAAAAGGATGAAAAAAGATCAAGTCAAAATCAGGCCATAATTTTAAATTATATATATATATATATATATATATATATATATATATATATTAAAACAGTAATAATTACCTTAGCAACAACATCACAGTAATAATTACCTTAGCAACAACATCACAGTAATAATTACCTTAGCAACAACATCTTGGCTGTGAATTTCTTCAACTTTAGCCAGAGCCTCACATTTGGCTTGATTTGCTTCTGAGAATTTCTTTGAGAGTTCTTTACATTCTCCTTTATTAATAAAGAGTCAAAACATCATACTGAATAAATCTTACAGTATTTCATATTTTCAACAAATATTCCTTCCAAATTTAATTGTCAGTTTCTCCAAGAAAGCTTATTTCTCTAAAAAAAAAAAAAAAAATCAACCAAACAGAATGTACTATTTGCAGAACAAAAGTTATTTCCTCAATCTTGTTCAGTTTTTGATAAAAAAAATAACAAAGAATGTAATGCATTTCTTTCAGATAAGTATTTTACAAATTAAATGTTAAAAAAAAAAAAAAGAAACAAATTCAAATATTTTAAGGTCAAAAGAGAAAATTTCAAAATTCTCAACTGCAAACTAAACATTAGAATCAATTTAAGAAAAGTGAACCAGTATTTTTCAGCACAATGTTAAATTTGCTACTTTACATAATTTATAAAGACAAGGTGAATAAAAACAAACCATTGAGCCGATCCACCTCCTTTGATCTTTTCTCAATAAGTGCAGCTAATTCTCTCTTCTCACATTCCAACTGCTCCTTTTCTTTGCAAAGACGTTGCTAGAAGAAATAGAAGTTTCAAAAGAAAATCTTATATATAAAAAAAGAAAAAAAAAAAAAAAAAAAAAAAAAGAAAAAAAAAAAAAAAAAAAAAAAAAAAAAAAAAAAAAAAAAAAAAAAAAAAAAAAAAAAAAAAAAAAAAAAAAAAAAAAAAAAAAAAAAAAAAAAAAAAAAAAAAAAAAAAAAAAAAAAAAAAAAAAAAAGAAAAAAAAAGAAAAAAGAAAAAAAAAGAAAAAAAAAGAAAAAAGAAAAAAGAAAAAAAAGAAGAAGAAAAAAAAAAGAAGAAAAAAAAGAAAAAAAAAAAAAAAAAAAAAAAAAAAAAAAGAAAAAAAAAAAAAAAAAAAAAAAAAGAAAAAAAAAAAGAAAAAAAAAGAAAGAAAAAAAAGAAAAAAAAAGGACAACAACGAACACGCTGGTCAGAAAATGTACAATGAAAAGAATTAAGTCATAAACACTTACTCTGGAAGACTCTGGAAAGTTATCTTCATGGTTATCTTGTAATACTTTTAATTTTGTAGAAGCTTCTTAAATTTCTTCTCTAGAAAAAAAATAAAAACAAACAGGCAATAAAAGAAAATCATTTAAATTCAAAGTCTACACAGAAAAATTCCTTATTTAGATTATTTCATCATTGAAGAAAAATTTTTTTTTCCTTTTCATCCAAAACCTTGAATTATTAAATAAGACCAAGTTTTAAAATTTTTTTTATGGCAGCTAACAACAATTAAACCAATTAAATGTAATGACCATAGATAGCTTTGATAAGAGGTTGCTTTGTTATTTCACCAGAAACTTGGCTTTAATAAGTGTTTCTAATAATATCTAAATTTTTTTTTTGTTTTGTTTTTTTTAATTATTGAACACTGCCAGATTTTTAATTATTGGATAACATGACTCTTTAAGCTTCTTATTGAAATTTTCAATTTTATTTATCTGCTCATTGTTGACTTTCTTAAGAGATTCGATGTTCTCTTTACAAAGTTTGACCTAAATAACAAAAGAAAATAAAAGATTTTATTGCAAAAAACTTATTTTAAATAAAATTTTTAAAAACTGTAAAAACTTTCAAAATTGTTTTAACTTTTTAAAGTCTTTACAAAATGTAATTTATACACAAAAAAATACAAGAAATAACTAATAACTTAAGGGACACCATTTGTTTTGGGGGCATGGAGACATCATATTCATGTTTTTCATTAACAGAAATTTCAGTGTATAAGTCTTTTTTATTTTGTGTAAAAAGAAATTTCTTACAAAAACATTTTTTGTTGTTATATTTGAAATTATTTTTCCCATCTGGACAATGATGGATATGTGAATATATCAAACTTAAACTGATATAAATGTGCTATGGTAAAGCTTTAAAATAATCATGTAATTCATATTTATTCAATATATTAAAAATCCAAAAATGGGATGTTTTTAAAATAGTATTGTTGAAAAATTTCTTCTCACCTCTTCTGTTTTTTGCATCTAATTCAGATTGAACCTGCAATAATTGGGATGTCTGAAAATGGAAAATTATAAAAAGTTAAAAATATTAAAAATACAAAGCAGTAGTCTCTTTTAATTGCATTTAAACAGGCTAACAATACTTTGAAAGAACCACTACTTTACAATGAAGGAAGTTGTAAATAAATGAAAAGGAATGGATTCTATTTCAACTGGAAGATCTATTTTAGTTTTGCTAATACACATTCATGTTATTATCAGGTTCATTTCCTTAGGAACAATTTTACTTCATTCATTCTTTAAAGTTTTTAATCATTTATACCAAAACCAGTTATCATTTTATTGTCCCCAATTATTACATTAAAAAGACTTCAGTTGACATTTCCTTGCATGAAATGATCAATCCACAAATCAAGTGAATCAATTAGTTTTTAAATACCTTTATCTTTCAAAATATTCTGCTGATCCCTAATCTTTTCTTTTCTAACTCGCCATTGAGGTACTCAACTTGCTTCTGTAGTTGCTCAATTTCTTGTGTAAATCTTTTCCTTTTGGTACTGTTGAAGAAATTTTAAATATTACAATATATCGATCTTTAAATGGAAATATAAAGAAAACAAGGATTTTTTTCATTTACATTAGAAATTAAAGAAAAATTAACAAAATATTGCATTTCAAAAATCATTTAAAAAATAAAAAAATAAATAAATTTTCAAAAAAGGATGAAAAAAGATCAAGTCAAAATCAGGCCATAATTTTAAATTATATATATATATATATATATATATATATATATATATATTAAAACAGTAATAATTACCTTAGCAACAACATCACAGTAATAATTACCTTAGCAACAACATCACAGTAATAATTACCTTAGCAACAACATCTTGGCTGTGAATTTCTTCAACTTTAGCCAGAGCCTCACATTTGGCTTGATTTGCTTTGAGAATTTCTTTTGAGAGTTCTTTTTTACATTCTCCTTTATTAATAAAGAGTCAAAACATTATACTGAATAAATCTTACAGTATTTCATATTTTCAACAAATATTCCTTCCAAATTTAATTGTCAGTTTCTCCAAGAAAGCTTATTTCAAAAAAAAAAAAAAAAAAAAAAAATCAACCAAACAGAATGTACTATTTGCAGAACAAAAGTTATTTCCTCAATCTTGTTCAGTTTTTGATAAAAAAATAACAAAGAATGTAATGCATTTCTTTCAGATAAGTATTTTACAAATTAAAAAAAAAAAAAAAAAAGAAACAAATTCAAATATTTTAAGGTCAAAAGAGAAAAATTTCAAAATTCTCAACTGCAAACTAAACATTAGAATCAATTTAAGAAAAGTGAACCAGTATTTTTCAGCACAATGTTAAATTTGCTACTTTTACATAATTTATAAAGACAAGGTGAATAAAAACAAACCATTGAGCCGATCCACCTCCTTTTGATCTTTTCTCAATAAGTGCAGCTAATCTCTTCTCACATTCCAACTGCTCCTTTTCTTTGCAAAGACGTTGCTAGAAGAAATAGAAGTTTCAAAAAGAAAATCTTATATAAAAAAAAAAAAAAAAAAAAAAAAAAAAAAAAAAAAGAAAAAAAAAAAAAAAAAAGAAAAAAAAAAAAAGAAAAAAAAAAAAAAAAAAAAGAAAAAAAAAGAAAAAAAAGAAAAAAAAAAAAAAGAAAAAAAAAAAAAAAAAAAAAAAAAAAAAAAAAAAGAAGAAAAAAGAAAAAAAAAAGAAAAAAAAGAAGAAAAAAAAGAAGAAGAAAAAAAAAAGAAGAAAAAAAAAAGAAAAAAAAAAAAGAAAAAAAAAAAAAAAGAAAAAAGAAAAAAAAAAAAGAAAAAAAAAAAAAAAAAAAAAAAGAAGAAAAAAAAGAAAAAAAAAGGACAACAACGAACACGCTGGTCAGAAAATGTACAATGAAAGAATTAAGTCATAAACACTTACTCTGGAAGACTCGTTATCTTCATGGTTATCTTGTAATACTTTTAATTTTGTAGAAGCTTCTTTAAATTTCTTCTCTAGAAAAAAAACAAAAACAAACAGGCAATAAAGAAAATCATTTAAATTCAAAGTCTACACAGAAAAATTCCTTATTTAGATTATTTCATCATTGAAGAAAAATTTTTTTTTCCTTTTCATCCAAAACCTTGAATTATTAAATAAGACCAAGTTTTAAAATTTTTTTATGGCAGCTAACAACAATTAAACCAATTAAATGTAATGACCATAGATAGCTTTGATAAGAGGTTGCTTTGTTATTTCACCAGAAACTTGGCTTTAATAAGTGTTTCTAATAATATCTAATATTTTTTTTGTTTTGTTTTTTTTTAATTATTGAACACTGCCAGATTTTTAATTATTGGATAACATGAGAAAATACATTTCCTTTAAGCATTTCAAATTGTTCATCTCTTAATTTTTCCCTAAATAAATTGAAATGCTTCAACAAATAACTTACAATATCAATTTAAATACAAGTAAATTCTCATGCTTCATTGTTGAAAATTTGGAATATACTACTGAAAGAAAGATGGCAATGTTAATCTAAGGAGGGGATTCTTTTCTGCATTCCAATGTGTATAATCAGCTGTCTATGAAAGACTTACCTAATTCTTGATTCTTTTCTTTGAATTCAGCTGATGAATTGCTTTCAGTTTCCAATTTTGTATTTGCTGTTATTAATTGTTTTTCCAATTCAAAATACTGTTGTTCTGAAATAATATTAAAAATTACAGGATATAACCAATTTAAATGGCATAAAAAAAAATTCTATACTGATAACTTTAAATTTACATCCGAAACATACAATATATTTAAAAATTATCATAACATAGCAAGTCAAAAAGAAAATAAATAAAAAAAAAGACAACAAATTCAAAAGCTAGATTGAAAATACAAAAAACAAACAAAAGGATTATTCGTTATATGATAGATCCATTATATTAAGAAAAAGTAAACAAAATCTAAGTGCAAAATTACAATACGTTAAACAAAAAGCTCGAAAGAAAAATACTAACAGTTAACTGAAGTACATACAAATAATCACACCATTGTGATTTTATAATAATCGACAAAAGCAAACTGTTAAATGACTAAACATTTGGTATAAAGTAGAATTCATTTATTGTATTTTATTCTGAATCTTTCCAAAGTGATTTTCTGAAAATAAAACTGAAAAACATTTTTCTGGTCATTGTTAATTATTATACAAATTGCTTAGATAAATACATATTGAAAATATTACCATAGTAATTTCAATCTTAGAAGATTGAAATTATTACTAATATTTTCAATATGTATTTATCAGAAAAAAAGTTAATTAAATATATCAAATCAAGATATTTACACATTCAGAGGTTCTGCCATTTTGTTTGGAAATCATACAGTATGTTGAAAAATAAACATAAATAATTGTATATTACCAGTAAAGCTAGACTGAAATATATCCAAAAATAAACAAAGTGCTGTCATCTATGTGCATAGATATATATATATATATATATATATATATATATATATAACAATTGCCTCTCAAAAATATCTCTACAGATACACCATATGAGATGAGAAAGATAGAGATACTGTTCTAAATTTATGATTCAGATACCTACTATGATTAAAATTCATTCTTTTCAGTCCCTACAATTGGTTTGGGAAACTTTTTTTTTTTTTCAGTTAAACTTTAACTGAAAAAAAAAAAAAAATTTCAGTTTCATCTTCACACTGTGAAATAAAATCAAAATTTTATTTTACAAAACCAAAATTGCTCAGTTTAGTGCTATCACTACTGAGTGACCATATCCAAAGAAACACCATTGAAAAAAACTTTCAGATGTTAATAAAATTAAATTTTATCAAGATTTATACCATTGTAAGAGAAAAAGATTGAACAAAAAAAAATGTTAAAAACATTTGGCTAGTTTTAGGAAATGTAAATGTTTACAAAAGAAAAAAAAAAAAAAAAAAAAAAAAGATCTACAACAGATATGACACATGGAAATCATAGAATGTTTTCAAACAGAAAAAAAATAAAAAAAATATGACATTATGTCTGAAATCTATTTCAGTTTAAAAAAAAAAAAAAAAATGTGGTAAAATTAAGTTAACAAAATAGCAAGCAAAAATAATAAGATAGTTGCCAGTTTTGTCTTAATGTTAAATTTTATGAAATCAGATTTTTTGTAAGGGTAATTGTTTTCTAGTAAGCCAGTAAACAAGAAAAAAAAAATGAATGATTTTTTTTTATAAATAAATTTTTTTTCATCTAGGGAATGCACCTAAATTAGATATTAAGAACAATTAAAATAGTTCTTAATTTCACTTTCAAAATGTGTATATTTCCAGATATGTAAGTCACTAGTGTAAAATTGTTTTTCTACAAAATAATAGTGAATACACCTAAAATTAGATATTTAAAAAAAAAAAAAAGAAAAGAAAAGAAATTTTTTTTTTTTTAAATCAGTTTTGAAATGTATATATTAAAATGATTCAAATAGTTTTGTAATTTCAGTTTGAAAATGTATCTAAAAAAGAACAGGTGACACTCACAGATTTGGAAATATACACATTGTAAAAATTAAATTAAATTAAAAGCTTTTAATTTTAATTATTTTTAATATTTAATTTTAGGTGTATTCACTAGATAAAAAAAAATATTACTCATTGATTTCAAGTGTGTTGGTGTCAGATAGCAGTTTCAATTTGAAAGTTTTTTTTTAACCACATATTTATTACTATCAGTTGCTTTTTTGCTTACTTTATAATTTTTGAAGGAATTCACTTCTACGGGTCAGAGAAGAAATGAACATCTTACTGGTGACTTCTAATTGAGCGTACAATTTCAAGAATATTGATAAAGATTGGTCACTTTGATTTTGGGAAACAAAGTAAAATTTAGTCTCGAAAAAAATTTTTAAAAATCATTTTGCATTTTCAGCTGTTCGGGGCAAAATACCATTTTAACTCGCTGTAAAAAAAAAAAAAAAAAAAATGAATTAAAGCACATACAAATTACATATTTAGAAAGATTATTTTATTTTCTTTCCAGTCATATGAATATTTTTAATATTGGACCAGAAATACACAACAAATTGCAAGTTCAACAGACCAAGTTGCAAATTTATCAATCTCAAACAAAATCAGATATTGACTGGAAATGCTATCATTACACAAGAAAATGAATGGTTTCTTCAGAAAGAAAACATACTAAATTAAAAATGAAAAACAAAACTGAAAACTGCAGTATCAAGGAGGAAAAAAAAAAAAAAAAAAAAAAAAAAAATTACAAAAGCTGATACCGAAACAAATTGCCAAACTGACCAACTCTACAGAGCAGAGATAGCAAAGAGAAAAACTGTATTTCATAATACATAACTGACTTCAGTCAGTCAGTTATGTGCCATGCATGATACATGCTTGGGCAATCACATACCTTTTGATACATGACTGATGAGGCAGATTTTTGTCTTATCACTGTTGGAAAAAGTCGATTATAGAATGTTTGGGAAGTCTTTAGACATATGTCAAGTTCTTGTTTTGCTATTATAATACAAGTTCATCTATTTGTTTGGAATATATACAAATGTTGTTTCCTATTACCCTACCCATCATTGCTTGTCCTCAGTTGTTACAATTGAAATTTTCTTTTATTGACAAAGGTTTAATTTATTCCTACAGAAAAAGATAAATATTTACATCTGTCAGAACCAATTGATCACAATAATTTAAGATAACCAAAGTCTGGAAATTTTCAAATATTGATACATTATCATTAGAGAAAACATTCAACCCTCAGTGCTAAGATAAGGTAGAACAGCGGGGATAACATTTTTGCAATTAATGACACTTTATTCTAAATGTTGTTCACGTTCACATCAGAATCAATCCGTTTCAAAGTTTCTTTAATCTTATTTTAGTTTTTAAGTAGTTCTTTCTATACATAAAATATTTAACCAGAAAGGAGTGAATTATTAAGAACAAAAAGTGGGAGGAGGAGAGAAAAAAAAAAAAACACACACACACAAACAAAGAACACTAATTTAGATTTTTTGGCTAGGATCAGACTAATAACTATGCAAAATTGAGTGAGAGGTCCTGGTGTCTATCATACACACATTTCATTAGATATGATACAGTTTAAAATAAAAACCAGTCATCTATTTCAAACACGGGTATCCACTAAACAAAAAAAAAAAAAAAAAGTCGCTTCAATCATATATATAATGGTAAGCCATAATTAATTTCCATTTCTTTTTTTTTTTTGAAGAATAGAGTTGATGAACAAAAATGTAAATCACGTCTTCTGACTCAACCTACACACACACACACACTTCCAATCCATGTTGAAACTCCCAATACTTTTTCCTTTTCTAAAAAATGTAATGGAGGCAGTAATTTTATGATAAATATAAGTTACATTAATAATGCCAATTGTTTTATTACAATTTGTCAGATTGCACATTGTAGATTAAAAAAAAAAAAAGAAAAAAAAAAATCAGTACTATCTAAGCCACAAAGTATCAAAACTTCCAACTGGAGAACAATTAAAAAGATAAAGAAATCTTCAACTTTATTATTAAATTTTTTTAAATAAAATCTATTTACAGCCCCAACAGTTCAAGTACACAAATAACTTTTTTGAAATATTGTAAATTATCAAATACCTACAGAGTGAAGATTAATTTGTAAACAAATGTACCTCTTAAGATTTTAAATTATTGCTAAATGTAAAACTTATATTTAATGTTACTTTAAAATAATAATAAAAGGTTTATAAATTAGTGATCGTTTCATCATGCTGAAAAAAAAAAAAAAAAAAAAAAAAAAAAAGAAAGAAAGAAAGAAAAAGTCAAATGAGACTTCCTTTATCAGAGGATTTGGCTTGAACATTTGCTAGACATTGTAAATCAATGCAAGCTATGAAATAAGTTTATTTAAACTTACCACTAATTTTATATTAAAATCACAAAATGACAATCTTCAGGAGGTACTGATGAAGAAATTTAAATTATATATCTAATTAGATTTTTTATGAGTAATAATGTAAATTGTAAAATGTTTCAGAACATCTCTTTAAACTAGTAACAAAACAATAGATGGAAAAATGTTTTCCCTTAATAAAATAAAGATTGTAAATGGGTATCCACAGTAATCCAGTACTTTGGAATGAAACTGTCAATGTCTCCCGAGTCAATTTTGCTGTTAGAGTTAACTCATTTAGTGGCACAATTTTTTTTTTTAAATATGAAAACAAAATAAGAGTTATAATAATAATAATTCAACAAACATCGCTCCAAATTTAAAAAAAAAAAAAAAAGAAGAAAAAAGCTAAGTATTCAAAGTTTTTTAAGTCATGTCACCCTAACTCTCTCTCCCAAACTGTGGGAGCTTGTGCCAGCTCTCTGAAATAGAAAATTATATTATTTAGGTGACAATACTTTGGACCACCCTGTACAATTGCTCGGTATCTTTAACGATAAATGAATAATTAAATAGTGGGAATAAGGTTCATTACATAGGTCCACATGGTAAACTGAAAAATAAAAGGTTCATTACATAGGTCCACATGGTAAACTGAAAAATAAAAGGTTCATTACATAGGTCCACATGGTAAACTGAAAATAAAAGGTTCATTACATAGGTCCACATGGTAAACTGAAAAATAAAGGTTCATTACATAGGTCCACATGGTAAACTGAAAAATAAAAGGTTC